GGCCATAAGGACAAGTTCTACTTTTCATGGTAGTAGAATTTTCAATAATGAGATAATGTTATGCAAAATCATTTAAATTATACAAAATAGAACGACTAAGCAACACTTGAAAACACAAGACTCATGGAAGAATATACGCATATTTTTGTTCAATTCAGTGTGTATGGTAAATGAATTTGGACCACTGAGTGCAGTGTGGAGCTGAACAGGACCGTTAATTGCTCAAGAGTATGAATGTCGTAAAGCACAAAAATGGAACAAAGGGTTTTTTTCGTTTCCGGTACACTCATTTTCAATACGACTAAGGAGTAATAAGTAATTTGTGTTTTCTTTTTGATATTATGTTCCCATAGTGTCCATCATTATTATATTTGTGCTTCAAAAACTTACACGCTCTTTATTATGTATGTTTTATGCACTGTTTTGGTGCACAAGCTTTTATTTTTAGAGCAAGAATATCGCACTGTCACAGTGGCTTTCACAAGCTCTCCTATTCCCGTCTCTTTTGTTTTTATAACTGCCTTTTTGAGAACTAGTTTTGCTTAGTATTAAACCAACAGATGTGCTGGCTTGTGTGTTGTTGTATTTCTTTTTTTTGCTGTTGTTTGGTGTTTTATAAATGACTAATCTGAACAGTTGTCACGTGTCGAGTCTTATCATCAGTGCTTGTTGCTTGAAGAAAGTGAAAGTTGACTGCTACCAACTGCATGTTTGCGAAAGTGTGAAAATAGAAATGTATAAATAAAGGCTGCTGATGGTATCGGTCCTAATGAGACTCAGCTAAGAGCTGTAGACTGGCAAAGAAATGTATTGGTGGTTTTTTGTTGTTTTTAAACAAAGAAAGAGTATGTGTTGGGTTTTTTGGGGGTTTTTTGAGAGGGGGCGGGGGTTCTTTTGGAGGGGGGGGTCTTAGAAAGTTGTAATTTCAGCATGTTTAAGAGTGCCTTGTTCTAAAATTTGAGAATGCTCATTGTTGTTTTGTTGTTGTGTAACACAATTCACCTGAAAAATATGAAATGTTTGTGCTTTTGAGCCCGTTCAACTTTAGAGAGGAAGATTACAATTTTCGAGCTTTCCTTTTTTTTTTTCTTTTTCTTTTTGCTCAGTATTATCAAATTCAAGTAACTGAGGTGTTAATAGTGCTGTAAAAAAACTTCTAAATCAATCAGTTGACTTTTAAAATAAAGTGCTTTAGAAGTGGATATAATGTTAAAATTCTGAAAACGACCCTTCTTGTATTTTTTGGGTACCGAACTAGTGAGACAGATGATGCTGCACATGGAATTGAAGTAACTCTTTTAGACTCACTATAGTCATGGGAAAGAGTAGAAACAACGGTAAAGAAAAAGTAAATATTGTCTTGATTCTTTCATCAGTAGGGCCTAAGTGGATAAAATTATTTAACAAAGAACAATATTTGGGGCAGTTGATGTATTTCTAAAAGTTCCTTCTCTAAAAATTCCTTGTCTAGGTAGCTGTGGAACTGTTTGGTTGAGTGACGAAAAAAGGAATAACTGTCTTGATTCTCTCATCAATAAGTTTATGAAACAATTACAGCAGGTCATTGAAGGGTTTAGAAATTTTTAACCTTCCTTTTGTAAATGACCGTATGCAGTTGGGAGCACAGTAAAACTCTTACTTAACTAAACTATACCTTTTCTAGGTACCCCTGGATCTGTTTGGTCAGGTGACCAAGCCCGGACAGTACATTCTCCTGGTACACTACTACATGCCCACAGAGGTCGGACTCAACATTCCAGTCTCTGTGCACTCCGACGGGAAAGTGACCAACGGTCAGTTAGCACTACTGACTGGCCTCATCTCTTTCATCTCCCTCTTTTTTCTCTTTCTTTTTTCTCTCTCATTCCTTCTCTTTCTTCTCTCTTTTTTTCTCTCATTCCCTCTCTTTCTTCTCTCTCTCTTTTTCTCTCTTTCATTCCCTCTCTTTCTTCCCTCTTTTTTCTCTCATTCCTTCTCTTTTCTCTCTCTCTCTTTTTTTCTTTCGCTCCCTGCATTTCTTCTCACCTCTTTCTACATTTCTTCTCTTTCTGTCTACAATGTGCTACTACAATTTACAGATTATCAAATTCTGCTATATGCTAGATAACACTTGCTGTTAAGGTTAACAGGTTTTTGTCTTCCAGCATTGAGCTGTTAAAGTTAACATGCTTCATTTGTTGTATGTTAGAGGTTTTTCTTCTCTACAGTCAGACCAGATGGGAGAGGGATAAAGGGCCAGTAGATATTGTTTCTCTATTATATAGTATCGTTTCTCTTTCTTCTTTATTTCAAATTGACACTTTGTGCTGACATGTTCACAATTTTTCTCTGTTGTATGCTAGAGCTTCCTGCTTTTCTCCAGTTGAGTTATGTCTATCTTTCCTACCCAAAGGTGCTTGGTGTGAGTTTTTGGGTGGTATGTTCCTTCTACTTCATTTGGTCAGTGTTGTTAGTATCCTCTAGTCTGTTTTATATAAACTGTATCTGTTATTGTACTGACTCCCAACACCATACACTGAACATTGTAACCTTGACTGTTCACTGTAGAATAAATGAGTTTGAATTTACTTTTACAAAGACATTTTCCTAATGAAGCTGTTGTCATTTCTAGAAAAGAACATTGTTCTGTGACAAATTTATAGTGATAGTCATGTTTGACAGGCAGTAGTTGTCCTCATAAGGTAGCTTTCCTTAATCTTGCTGTTTTTCTCACATTCTAGGCATGTTCAAGCCACGCTTCTGTCCCAATAATGTTGGATGCCGAAGCACCATCATGTTTGGTCAGTCTGGTGGTAACGTGATCAAACTGACAGGAACTGACATCAAAGTCTCCTTCAACGGTACTAAAGGTGGACAGATCTGGCTGGTTAGTATATAGTTTCTGTTGCACTCTTCTGCCCCCCTCATAGGGGGTGCCCACTATTGCGATCAGGTTGGGTCGGGTCAATTTGACAGTTGGGGCTAGCCGAATTTAGGGCACAAACGGATCGACTCGGTCGGTGACCTGCAAAATTAAACGCGTTCACTCAAACTAGCAGGGTCAATGGCTGTTCGAGCCGAAAAAATGTTTCTTTGACCTTATAATGCATCACGATTAGTAAAATAACTTGGTATGGATTAGATAGAGTAATTCTTTCTATAAAGATTGTCACTAGTATGTGGGCAGGGCCCAGGTTTCGAGAATATTCTCGTCCGCAGCACTGAATGAGTCAAACAGTGTCTGTAGTGTTGGGCACTTTGCTGTCACGTGCAGAAGATTTGAGTTTGATTCCTATGTGGGGAGATTTTGTATCGAGTGTCTCCATCTGTCTGCTGGGACACTGTCTCCCTCTCTGCGGCGGGTTGGCCGCGGCAGTCAAGGTTGAAGCTGTCCGCCTCCTAAATGATTTACAGATGCCATTTTTTAAACATTAACAGAAACACAAAAGAGATACACTGACTGACTAATAAGGTTCCTCAGGATCAGTGGAGGGTGGGGGATGTGTTATAATGTATAATTACTTATTTTTACTTTATAGAATGAAAAGGGAAAAAAACTGTTTAGATAGTGTGCACAAATTTTAAAAAAATTTTCAATTAAGGCTGTGACTTGAATCTTTGAAGCAAAGGGTTGGTTTGGCACTCATATGACATTATGCTGTTGCGAGCGCCGTAGAACCCTCTACTATAAAAAAAGGGTTGTTTATCTTCTTCTTTTCTGTGTTCCTGTCTTCATGACATGGCTGTGATATTTCTACGCAGGACTACTTGCTGATTGTACCCATGGACCAGTACCACAAGGACTACATGGACTTGTTGCCTGTGGATAAATCGGGAGATTTCCTCAACATGTGTGTCGATGAAGGCTTCCAGCTCAAGTAAGTGTCAAATTTGGGTCGAAAAGATATTTTCTGCGTTTTGTCCTTTCTATGAAGACGCTCATGACTATAGAATAATTACTGTACGAGGTAATGCTTTCTGTCAAACATGTCTGGATGTTTGGCGGATATTTGGTGTGGTTTTTCTTATCAAACATTTATAATCCTTATCTCTCATCCATCTTTTCTTTGTATGTTACTTTGTAGTGTCTTCTCTAATCTTAGGCTCTTCTATAACCTATTTGTGTCGCAAGTGCCGTAAAAATTACTAAACTAATCTAAATCTAAATAAGACATCATGTTTGTCTCTTGTGAGTGTCATACAGCATAGCAACATGTTACATGCATACTGGTGCTGTTCACAAGCTTCTCCTTTGCTGAAATTCATATTATTAAAACAGATTTGTATTTGTTTCATCATTTTGACTTATCTTTTGTAGGGTCTTGATTTGCAATTTGCCAGTACTCTCCACCCATATACCCTCCACCAGGGCAGTGCTACCCCTTGGCGCTCTTATGCAGTTGCGAGCTACTAAAACTAAAATCTCCACCCATAGCTTCACTTATATTGATGATTGTGCATTCCATCACTTCCATTTCTATTTTTTCATTTGATTCCATTTTACACAATGAAAGATGTCATTTTTAAAATCTTTCTTTTTTTTCTTTCTTCGCTATTTCTCTTGTGTTTAGGGCTGACGAAGAGTTCTGTAAGAACGGAGCTTTTACGTTGGTCACCAACTTCAACAACGGAGCTCTGGACTGCAACTGTAATGCTGATGGCTCCCTCAGCTTCACCTGTGATGGATTTGGTGGCCAGTGTCAGTGCAGGGATTATATCATTGGACGCACTTGCTCTGCTTGCTTACCTGGTTATTACGGTTTTCCAAACTGCCAAGGTAAGCATACTGAGTACAAAAAGTAGATTTATTAGAATGTAACAAGTAGATGTTGTTGTTGCTGTTGTTGTTGCTGTTGTTGTTGCTGTTGTTGTTGTTGATATTGTTGTTGTTGTTGTTATCAATCGAACGCAGTTGAGCTCTTGCCCTTCTGTCCAATGCCATTAAGTGATAAATACAGGTTTGCTGCAGTTGCTGTAATGTTCCATGGAGTGTGTTGTCAATGTTAGGTCTCGGAGGGAGAAGACTTGCTCTGATGTCATTTAGGGCTGTACAGTGGAGCAGGCGATGATCCAGCCTCATATGCATAGTCACACAAAGGACACATTAAGGAAAATTCTGTTTTTATTCTGTTTAAATGGAAGTTGAGCTGTATATATCCTGTTCGTAGGCGGAAGATCATGGTCTGTTTCTTTCTCAGGTAGATAGACATTTTATTGTCCAGTCTAATGTATTTGATAAAATGCTGAAGTGTGCACCTCTTTACTAGTATGAATGGAAAATATTTTGACTTTATTTATCATTATAATTGTTTTTCATTTTCTGATGGTATGTTGTTCTTTTTGTTGATTTCCAGCTTGCAACTGTCGATACGGTCTATGCCATGAGGTGACCGGGGAGTGCATCTGTCCACCTCGTGTTGAGGGAGACCAATGTGACAGATGTGAACCAGAGGCCTACGGTTATGACGCCCTCATTGGCTGCCAGGTAGGGAATTGCGTAGAGGAATTAATCTACAATATAACAATGATATCTGATATTGAAATGTTTTTCACACTAGGAGGAGGGCAGTGGTGATCGTGGCTCAGCATTTTTCATGAGCTGGGGCTTATTCGCAGAAGCCTCTTATCTTAAAATCCTAAAATTGTCCCCACCATCAGCACTTTGTTTTCTTGATGGACTTGTGGTCTTCCATCACTTGTTTCAAATTAAAGATGAATGAGAAGAAGAAGAAATCATTTGACTACTGGATCCCCAAAACAAAGGAATTTTAAGGGAAGTGGTGAAGCCTAGATTATAAAAAAATATTTTCACGAAGGAATTGAGTGTGCCAGCAGCTTAGTTGACACCTTTCTACAATGTTGTTTGAGGAGATTTCAGTGTTCATCAAGCTATTTGCTTGGCCTTTTTTGGAGATAGACGTTAAGTTTGGATGTCAAGCCTCTTAAATGACTTACAGTGTTGGCAAGTCCATGCCAAGCCATCTTATCAAAAAGTTTTTGGAGCACTAAATTATCACCCTCCATTATCTTTTTTGTTCATACACTAGTGACATTGCCTTTGAGTACTTTCTACTGAATAGGCAAAAAGAAAACTGCATTGAAAAGAGTTTGTATTTTGGAATTGTTTAAACAGGATTGAAATTAACTTGGACTGTTTGTCTGTTTTTATTTTTTAACGGTATTGTAATGTTCTCTTACTGTGTGAAAAGATATGAATTATAAAGCAGTTCAACAAAAAACTATTGTATAGCTGAATTATGATCATGCCCTTTAGATTTCTAATCTTTAAGAAATGAAGTCTTGTGTTTGGTTTTTAGTTTTTATTGCCTGTTTTTTTAGATTTTTGCTTGATATTTTCTCTTTCTTTTTATGTGAAATGGCTTACCCACTAGATTTAATTAGTGTCATGGCCAGTGGGGCAGAGAACGGAAAGAATGGTATGATTATGGTAGACATTTCTATATATTTTCATTTCAGAGGTGCAACTGTGATTACCAAGGTGTACTTGACAGGAACTTGAACTGTGACCAGAGGACTGGACAGTGCAGGTATATTTTACACTGTTTGCTGCCATTCATGCTATTTGCTTTCACAGTCCATTTAATTTCTTTTGCTTTACTTATTTTACATGTTTTCTTATTCGGCTTGTGTTATCTATTTTCATCACTCCTCTGTGAGTTATAATAGCAGTAATGGAGTCAAGAAAATTTTGAAATCAACTAGTTATTATAAAAGTTCCAAGTTAACTTATCTTTATTACAAAAGTTCAAAAATAAACTATCTTTGGGCAAAGCAATGAAAACTGCGAGAGAATATTTGCCCTTCTCCAAACTCAATCATATTCCTCAGTCCCATTCCCCCAGAGTGCTATGTGTGCATCAATATAATTCTGTAAGTAATATGTATGTTTGTGTGTGTTGGTTCTGTACATTCTCAAGTGGCATTGCTGTGTTAGGCCCCCAGTATATGTGGAAACATTGGCCAATATCACTTTGTTTTCTGTATCTGTAGATCTATTTTACATTACCGAAAGTGTGTCAAGTGTAAAGTCCATAATAAACTTTGTTGGTGGGTGGTTGGCGGGTGCTCTGGTGTAGTTTGCTTCTTTTTTCCTATCAAACCTCTATCGTCTTTTTCTCCCCTCTTTCTATTTTGTGTTTGTTACTCTCTTGTAACACCTTTAATCTTCGGCACTTGTATGACCTTATTGTGTTCCCAGTGCTGTAAAACTCCTACTAAAACTTTAAAAAACCTAAAAACTTTGAAGGAAAAAAAGGTCTGGGCTGATAACAAGCTCAAGAACATTTTTCTTGTTGTGAAATGTTTATTGTAAAATAATAGAAGGTAATTTTCTTTGTTTCTTTAGCTAACATTTTTTATGTCTATCGTTCAAGTGAAAAAATGTTTTATGGATAGATCCACCTGTTTGTTGCAGATGAAAGGCCTCGTAGCTTGGTTAGAGTTTACCTTTCTTAACTCTTTTAATTTTTTATTTTTGTTCTCGGTGATAACTGCCTTTTGACTGAGCTGTCAATTGTTTTCATCCACATTAGTTGTAAGGCCAACATAGGTGAACGTCGGTGTGACACGTGTTTGCCTGGCTACCACACCTTCCCCTTCTGTGAGTTCTGTGGATGTGACACACGCGGCACTCAGGCGGCTATTTGTGATCAGCGGACGGCTCAGTGTCTCTGCAAGGTGGGTGATGGTGATGTTAGATGATGTAAAGTTACCTGGCAATCCGATGAGTCGGGTCTCTCAGGGGGCCCGCGTCCAAGATAAGTGTAGCCTCGTCGTGGTCCTGAGTCCGACTGAATATCTCAGTGAGTCTCTCAGACGATCTCTGCCTATTTCCCCCGGGACCCTTGACGTCATCCAAGGGCGTGCCACTCCCTTAATTATCTTGTCCCCACAGTAAAGATAAGAGTCATGTCCCTTGACATCACAAGATGACTGTAAATGTCTGTCTGTCCTTTTAACCCCTTGGTGGTGTATGGTTTTTCCAACTTTTACCTCAACCAATTTCTGCTAGCCAGGACATTCAAAGCTATAGTAATGCAGTGATAAAATCTTGTACGGTGTACGTAATAAGGTCCACGTGATTGCCTTAATCGGCTGATGTAAGGACATATATTGTAAGGGAGGACAGCATCTTGGCACATAGTGTTGGACGTACTGTGTACTGGAGCTGTCAACCAAGGCGTTAATTCTCATTGGTGGTAACTGACACCAGGATTCCGAATCTAGCTATCCTTTGTTTTCTTATTGATATTGATACTAGGAGTCTGAATTTAGATGTGGAGCTTATTATATGTCCAAATTATGTTGATGGTGTTGTAAAACAAGTACTCCAAACTCACCTAAAATGAGGACATTAACAGCTTTGCTAAGTAATATGTTCCAACACATACACTCATATGTTAATTTGCTGGCATTTTCATTGTTCAGTACTTTTAACCTTGTTCTTTGTCAGAATTGTATATCTATTTTCCTTCAAAAGGAAAAAAAAAAAAAAAAAAAGGAAGGACACCTTTTATTCATCTCTGTGAGGAAATTTGTTTTACAATGGAGACCAAACTGCATTTCCTTCCTTTTTGACTTTGCACAATTTCCTTCCTTTCTTGTGAGTGGGTGATTGGCGGGTGCTCTGATGTGGTTTTCTTCTTCTTTCCTATCAAACATCTATCATCTTTTGCTCCCCTCTTTCTACTTTGTGTTTGTTACTCTCTAGTAACACCTCTAATCTTCAGCACTTATATGACCTTATTGTGTTGCAACTGCCGTAAAACTCTTACTAAACCTAAAACTTCCTTGTGTCCCCCCCCCCCAGGACAACGTTGTGGGCACCATGTGTGACCAGTGCGCTGATGGTATGTACAACCTGGAGATGGACAACCCCAAGGGATGCACCCAGTGCTTCTGTTTTGGCCACACCACGAGATGTGACAGCTCCAATCTCAACTGGGACTTTGTAAGTACAACGTTGCTATTTATCATAGTCTGTGGTATTGCAGGCTCTTCCAATCACACTCAAAAGATACAGGTTCAATTCCAATGTGCAAAAGTTGGTTGTGGGTTGTTGGGGGGTGCTACCGTGTGGTTTGCTTCTTCTTTCCTATCTAACATCTATCATCTTTATCTCCCCTCCTTCTTTTTTGTGTTTGTTACTCTCTTGTAGCACCTCTAATCTTCGGCACCTATATGACCTTATTGTGTTGCAAGTGCTGTAAAACTCTTACTAAAGAGCAAAAGTTGTTTTACATCTTTTTTCTGCCATATAATATCTCTCACACACAGTTTGGATTGATCCTGTTAGGTATTGTCAACGGACCCCAACTGTTACAAAGTCGTGTAAAACATTCAGAGTCAGACATTTCCTTTTGATTGGGTATCTCATTCATCAATAATCAAGAGGCTAGCCCAGGAGAGGGACAGGTGGAAAGTGTTTGTTCGTGGCCTAATGCAGGGTGAGAAAAGGAGGGCTGATGCTGATGGCTTTATTCAGCAGCCCAAATATGATTCTTGTTAAAATAACAATTCTGGTTTTTGATTTTTTACTTTTCCCCACTCAAAGTTGACTTCAGATCTTTGAACTGATTTTCGCTTGTAATGCTTTTTTTTGTCTAATGTGTAATGTCTTTCACCTGTCAGGATTGTGACAGTTTTTGATGGGTGATTATTTTCACAGACCAAAAGACATGACTACCCCTCTGCCATATTTCTGTTCTTAATTTAACCTTTTCATTGCCTCACCCAAATCTTTTAAAACTATTTGGTAAAATTCTGAAGCAGGTCTGGTATGAAGGGGTGAATACTGTGTTAAGTTATTATGAAGAAATATAATTCTGTATAAATTCATGAGAGTTTATGACATTTTTTGCACAGGTTAAATCATAGCTGTTTTATGTAAAAATATTTCTTTTTTTAATTTTAAAAAAATGTGTCTATGTTAAAATTTCAGATTAGCAGAAAAAGATGTATGGGCACATGGTTTAATTGTTTTCCTGAGAATCCGTTTCACCTTGCTCTCCTTATGTCTACTTCAAGGTGTACGACATGAGAGGATGGCTTGCTACAAACACGGGAGACGAGGAAGTACAAGAGGCGGGATCCACCATCAGAATCAGTTCTGTTGACGGAGCCCTGGATGAGGACAACATCATCTACTGGATCGCCCCTCCAGCATACCTGGGCAAGAAGGTACTGAAATCGGGTCAATGCTGACGTTAAACATCTTCAAAGTACTGACTCCTACATGGCATTGGACAGAAGGGCGAGCTGTTGCTGGATTGATAACAACAACAACAACAACAACAACAACAACAACAACAACAAAGTACTGACTTCCTCAAGTCAGAATATGCTCTTTATAGATTATAGGCCTATTGATAATTATTATTACTGTTATTAGCTAAGAGGTGCTTGCTAAGATTAGTAAAACTTGTCAAAGGGGTTTTCTTGAAATGGTGGGCAAATGAATTACACTGTAACAGCCTAATCGTTCCCTTTATCTATCTACCTGTTAGCTTTAACTAATGTTGACAAACATCAAACTGAAATACACTTTGCTGAAAACCATGGAATACAGAGGCAGGAAGAAATGGTTGTGGGATTATCCGATTAACTCTGTGAGTGTGTTTTGTGTTTAAAGAGTTAAAAGCCTATGGACAAAGGTCATACTCTTTTTGTTTTGTTAAGAACTCATTCTCTGTCGTGAAAATACACTGGGATTTGTCTTTGAACAGGATGCATTGATGCAAGCTCAATGGATGCTGCACTACAACCGTTGGTTGTCGTGTTTGAAATCTTCTGTAAAGAATGAGTGTGCTTCAGCATAATAATAACAATAATAATAAATAGAAATTGTAGAGCGCTTACCCCCACTCAACAGAAAGCTCTATGCACTTTACACTATATTATCACCCCAGCAGACCATAGAACACTCCAAAACATTCTCTGCTTCCTTAGAAGCATACAGTGCAAGCAACTGATTAAGCGCTCAAACACTAACAAACTGACAAGATCTTTCGCTGTCTATAGGTGGGTACCCATTCCCACCTGGGTGGAGTGAGGAAAATTTGTGTAAAGTGCCTTTCCCAAGGGCACAATGTCGGGCCCCTGACGGGATTTGAACCCACGACCTTATGGTTATGAGTCCGATAGCCTAAACTCTAGGCCACTGACGCCACATCATATAGCCCCCAAAAGTAACGATTTCTCATCAGGTTGTCCTCCTGGGGATGTAGAAAACTATATTTTAAAACTATTTAATTTCCATGCTGGTTTAATTCACAGATCAATTCATACGGAGGCCTGCTTCAGTTTACAGTGCTGTTTACTCTTCCTAGAGGCTTGGAGAGTGAGGGCCTGATTGAACCTGACATCATCCTGTCTGTAAGTTGGACAATAGTAGATTGTGATTGTGATATGGATAATAATAGATTGGAATAAAATCTAAAATAAAATTAACAGCAAAAATTTACTCTGTATATTCATTTTCATTTGGTCTGCTGTTTTGCAGTTTATAATTCTGGACTGTTTGTTTATAAATAAATTAATGCTCTCACTTGTTCGGTTTGTTGATCAAATGTTCTATGTTTTATTAACTTTGAAAGCTACAGACATTTGGTACAGAATGCGACTGCATCAAAGAGATCAGAGGTATTATGATTCACATGAAGTAGCCAGTATTCTTTTTGCAAAGACCTTTTTGTTGAAAATTCTTCAGCGGAAAATAAGACCTTTATTTATGATTATTTGGTATTCCATACATTACAGGGTAGCAACATGAGTGTGGTCCATTACCACAACACTCAGCCTCTTCCCAGCACTTCTTTTGACATGGAGGTCCCATTGACGGAGGTATGTTAATTTTGAAATGTTCTGTCAGGGATTTTGACCAGCATGCACCGGCTGAGTCAATGATGCACCCAATGTATATACAGTGAAAGGCAATTTTCCATGAAAGGTCCCTTTATTGTAATACATTTTTACATTTTCAGTAGTACTTCAGACATCAAGGAAACAATGCCCTGTGTGATGATAAAGTATTATCTTATCTTAAACTTAATGAGAGTGTTTGTAAATGTGCTAGAGAAAATGAATCTCAATTGCATTTTTCCTGCTATCTCAAACTGTGGTTCTTTTATTAGGCCCTACTCTTTTTTGGGGGGGGTATCCTCTCTTTTTCTCAAACATTTCCAAATTTGCAAAATTGACCAAGAGGTTTTCAGTTAAAAGCAAAATCTTTTTACTTTACACCACTTTTACAAATGTCAACAATACGGATTTCTGCTGTCCAGTGGGCAATGTAATTAAGGAATTTATTTATATTTCTGTCTGGTTGCTTTGGTTAATCTTGTCATCTATGTCGTTTGATTGGGAGAATTTCTAAAATATTTTTCAGTACCACTTCAGACATCAAGGAACCAATGCCCCAGTTTTCAAAGAGCAGTTCATGATGATTCTCTCCAGTCTTGATGCTCTTCTCATCAGAGCTTCCTACTACACTGTTGTAGGAGAAATCAGGTATTCTGAGATTTTCTTTATTGGTAGGCTATGGCGGGTTTTCAGATTTATGCAGTCATCATCAAATGCCAGATCTGCAATAAACATATGCAATAAACTTCTTCAATTATGGTTCTCCACCTTCTGCTGGCATGCTGTAAAAAATCTTTCCACGTCACACTTCTGTTTAGGTTCTCTGAATAGGTCGCTCTGGATCTACACCTGTCTCACCTACCTTTGTCTGTCCTGAAAGATTATTTAAGAGACAAGACTTCCAAATCCATTGTCTACCTCTAATAGGACCGTGGGTGAGGGGCTTTGAAAACTCATCAACCAACCTAAATTTTGAAATGTTCTGTCAGGGATTTTGACCAACATGCACCAGTAGAGTCAATGTATATACAGTGAAAAGCAAAATTCCATGAAAGGTCCTTTAATTGTAATGCATTTTGACATTCTATTATTTTATTGGGAATCCTCTGTTAATGCGGCCCACCACTCATTTATTCCTGGTTTTATTAGTGGGGTTGTTACTTTTAACCCATGTAATTCCCTACTGACTAGTTCTAGAGTAACGAATGGTATTGAAGAAGGTGTTTTGTAACTTTAAATGTTGCCACAGGGAATGAAGAGTGAAATGAATACTTACAATTTTGTTTGTGTGTGCAAGGATATTGTAACTTTTGATTATGTGTGGTAGGTTATGCTCTTTATTCTGGAGGTGCATGTGAATGTGTTTTTTTGTTTATGAGGGTAGTGCAGCCAGGCATGTTGGAGGAGGTACCTGTGTTTGTTCAACATCCTATCTGCTGAGCGAAGAAAATACACAATCCCCCTGGACATGGGATTTTAAACAATTTTTTAAATCTCGAAATGACGCTATTGAGTGTTTTGGTACTTTTGAAACAATTTTTCTATTAACAGCAGTGTCTTACTGTTCACTCATTGCCTTGATAAAAACAGAAGTCTGCAAGCAGTTAGTCACATGGGTTGGCAAAGAATCTAGTATTTATATACTTTGAGAGCTGTATTTCTGACTGAGCATCTTGGCATAGATTTTGTTATAGTATTGACTGACTGTTTTTGTAGGGTTTTTTTTTTTTTTTACCTAAATGGTCACTATTTATTTAAGTCAATTCCTAACATAAAGGATTTATATTTTTAGGTTGACAGAAGTGTATCTGGAGCAGGCAGCAGTTGATGGTAGGGGAGACCCAGCAGACAGTGTGGAAATGTGCCAGTGTCCACCTAACTATGTTGGTCTTTCCTGTGAGGTCAGGGGTCATTTCTGCTTTCTTCTTGTACTGAATAACATTTTACGTGTATCTGTATTATTTAAGTGCAACAACAACATATTTCTTAACTCACTCAATCCCAGGAGTTTTTCCCGAAATTGTACCCTGAAACCAGTCATTTTCGGCAGTTATGTAAGGGCCCACTAGTAACCATAAATAATATCCAATTTGGCACAAAGTACAACCTAAGATAGATTTTTTAGACATACCAAATTTGAATGATGTAGCTTTAGTAGTTTTGCTTTCGGGTCTTGTACAAATTTCGCATTTTGGGGGCTTTTAATTATTTTTTCATGGCCGAATGAGTAAGAGCAAGCCTAAATTGATATTCAAATATGCTTGTGAGTGTCTAGATCTATCGGCCTATGTCATATGTCATGTAAAATAAAGACTGCTGAATAATTTCATGAATAAAAATAAATGTATTTTTGAGAAAGGCAGAGATAATAGATTGTGAGACATGCTCAGCTGATCAGTGTGAACAAATGTGCTGAAAGTGCCTTTATAAAAGCCATGATTTCTCCGTGTTGTAATGACAGTAGAAACAAAATTCCAGCCCCCTTCTAGGCAGAATTGACAGGGGAATAATAAATTGACCTTATATAAAACTTGAGGCCATTTTCCGAAACGAAATATCTAGTATACGGAACAAAACTATAGAACCGAGTTATATGTCAGTCGTGGGATTGACGCTGCTCGCGAGCTGACCGAGATATCTCAGTCACAGGATTGAGTGAGTTAAAGGTCATTGTTTTTTTATTTACTGAGGGTATTTTTTAAAACGAGTTTTTGCATTTATTTAAGGAAAGTAGGTTGTATACATCTTCCTTATTTCTCTTAAAACCGGCGAAACCTATTCAAAAAAATGTCTTTTACATTTCAACCAGCACACTTAGTAATGAGATTGATGCAGTAAAGCACCAATGTCGACTGTCTGACTCCCCACCAGTTATGTGCAATGAGAGATCTCTGGGTTTTTTGTTTGTTTGTAAGGTTTCTCTCTAATTCTGTATGTATTGTGCTATTGTGTGGGATGGTGTTCCTTTTAGTAAAAGCCTATGTTGGTACATGCATTATTTTAGATACTCACAAAAATTGATATTTTATGCTGTGAAATTTTTTAATTTGAATATTTGATTAAATAAAAAAAAGCTTGTATGCATAGAATTTCTATGGTTCGTAAATCATATTTAACATAACTGTATTAGATTTGCCTTATATTTTCACAGTAGACGAAGATATCCCCTGTTCAAAATAATTTTATGCAGCTGTTGTTGTCTTTTACAGGATTGTGCCCCTGGCTACTACAGAGCCCGCACTTCTCCATACTTGGGAATCTGTGTCAAATGTAATTGCAACGGCCATTCTAATGAGTGCGATCTGGAAACTGGCGAATGTCTCGTAAGTTTTTGTGCTTTTTTACACTGTATTTGGATCTTTATTTGTTTATCAGCCTCTTGGTGTTGGTGGCTCACTGTGTTGCTTTCTATCATATACTTTTGACTTACTTTGACTGTTATTTTAACTTTTTTTCATTATTAATTGGTCCAATTGTTACGCTAATTAAGGTAATTTTTTGAGAGCCAATGGTGATTTAGACTCTGTGTCTATGGTTTCATTTTAAGTCTGCTGAAAAACATGCATTGTCAGTTTATTAGAATGTTGTGTGCAAGTTTGCAATAATAGAAATTTCTGTCACAGTCAGCGCTTGCAGTTAATCGATCACAGTGCTAACTGTTTTTGTGTTTGTTTTGTTGTCTTGCTAAAAAAAAAAACATTTTTCCTCCTCTACATCACTCTCTCCTCTCTACCCTCTCTTTTGGTGGATGGTTGGAAGATGCTGTTGTCTGTTCTGATGAGTCTACTTGTGTTCAGTGTTGCTTGAGTTATCCTGGTACAGTATGGCCCTTACTGAGCAGACTCGTCATGGATAACAAGGTGCCTATTACAACATCAAAGACAACGGCTACAACTAGTTTTTGTCGTAATCTTCTAAAGCTTTTTGTACTTCTGATCTTTTCAGAACTGCCAAGACAACACCACTGGAACCAACTGTGAGCAGTGTATGACTGGTTACTATGGAGACCCTGCCACTGGTGGATGTCAGATTTGTTCTTGTCCTTTGCCTGTGCCCTCCAACAAGTGAGTTGACAACACTGGTTTTCTTGTACTCAGCACTGTTTTATCTATCCAACAAACACGTCTTTTAGTCTACAACAATTTTACAAACCCCTTCAGCATTGTTCCATGGTACAGTAATGTCATATCCTTTTTGATTTTCCACTTGTGCAGCTGCAAACAAGGAGATATGTTAAGTTTTCATGTTATTCTTTAAGCTTGTAGCTTCCCTTGATTGACTTTATTCTTCAACTTTCTTCTGCCTGCTTCCTCAAAGCATGGAAATTTACTTTGAAGACTCTCTTATATGTGTCATATAATATTTTTTAAAACATCTTGTCAGCTTTGGTGGTTTAGGTTCACCTCAAAGTCTCTTCCCTTCAGATATTATAAGCTGTACATCTTAGCACTTTCCACTCCACTTTCCACACACTGGGCAACCTGTGTGTATATTACATATATAAGTAATAAAGTAATTGCACATGGAAAAAGTTTAAGCTACTGTTTGAAAACTAAACAGACATTTCATTGGTTTTCAGCTTTGCTACCACTTGCCAAGTGAGTGCGGATGGCTACACCACTACCTGTTCTTGTCTGCCTGGTTATACAGGAGCTCAGTGTCAATCGTAAGTGGTATCAACTTTATATGTGAGGCATCATGGTGAAATCAGGCGCTTGTAAAAAATCGAATTTTTGTTTTTGGGCTCAGCATTTTTTATGTCCATTTGAAAACTCATTTCTGTGTGAATTTCACTGAAACACTTTGATTAAAGGCACAAAAATTATAAAATTTTATTTTCTAAGGACTCTCAAATTATGGAAGTTACCAAACTTTGGCAACCATTTTCTGGCAAATTTACCCCTGAAACCAGGTGACCCCCACTTTTTCAATTGCATATATCAGGATTTCTATTAAAGATAGATGGGTACATTTTTCATATTTTTCATATAGATCAAGAGAATAGAATAAACCTTAAGATGATGCCAATAACTCCACATGCCCCAAAATTGACGAGTGCCCAATTCCACCACGTCATGTCACATATTCCTTTCTTCACTCAGTGACTTTTCAATGTATAAAAGATATGCAGTATGAGATTATGTGGCGTGGTGTATCATGTTTTGACAAGTGAAGATCTTTACCATTGAACAGCTCTAGGAGTAAGTTCAATTATATTGAAAAATCCACTCTGCGACTTTTCAAAATAAGTGGTCATGGAACAAGTATAGAATGTGAAATAAGTTTTATAGTTGAGTGACAAGACTTCTTTGTGTATATGATTATTGGAACCTGTTCTCAGCATGATGTGTATGTGTGTGTGTGTATGTGTGTATGTGTGTGTGTGTGTGTGTGTGTGCGTGTGTGTGTATGTGTGTGAGTGTGTGAGTAAGAGAGAGAGAGAGCGGTAAAGAGAGAATGAGTGAGAGGGAGCAAGAGATCATGCCAACGGACACACTGTTTAGGTACCCTAGCATGAGTGAGCTACACATCATTGTGCCTATATCATTATGCATATATGTAATGAAGGCATTTCAGATGCTGAGTCTCTAGATGTTGATGCTCTGGTACATCAACCCAAAATTTCCCTTATGGATATTAAATCTTATCTTAACATTCAAACTCACTGTCCACTTATTTTTATAATGAGCTTAACTCACCCAGCCCTAAGGCAGATACGTGTGGTATGCGCGTGCAACGCTCCAACCCTGAAGCCGACAGTATTGGTATGGAAAATTTCGCGCTTTTGACCGAAAACACTACTTTTGTGTGAAGCAGACTATAGCCTAATTGGAAGAGTAACCATTTTTCGTTTGAAACAGACTATGACCAGGAGTGCAAGCTCAAATTTAGGACAAAGAAAGCTATATTCGTGAACCTTGTGAGGGAGTGCGAAATTTGAACACACTTCCTTTCTTCGCTTCTTGTTTACTTTTTGACTCTGTATTTAGATCTATTTCCCCGGACTATTGCATAAAAAATATGACACATTTTGTCTTCAAATTTTCAATGCTCACAAATAAAGGTTTGAATAAAATGTGTACCGAATTTGAGTAGGATATGTTCAAATTTACGGGGGGGGGGGGGGGGTTCAATTTTTCAAAAAGTCTAAAAAATGTCTAGGGAGAGCTGACAACTCAGAAGTGTAAGCCGCCTAGGGTTGAATGAGTTAATAACAAACAGGTATTCTGGAAAGACGAAAAACTGTTCCCTTATTTTGTTCACCAGGTGTGACTCTGGCTACTTCGGAGATCCCATCAACCCAAACAACTACTGCCAGCCCTGTGGCTGTAACGGCAACATCGACATCAGCAACCCGGGCAGTTGTGACCGGTTCACAGGATCCTGTCTTATTTGCGAGAACTACAGCAGTGGATCTGACTGTGGAGAGTGTCGAGACTGGTACTGGGGAGATGCTATCTCCAGGAAAGACTGTCAGCGTACGTTTGAAAAATCACTGTGTAGATTTTTTTTTAAATTTGTTTGTTTCGGGCTAGTCTCAGTCCAAATGACAAAGCATTGCGAGCAATAAAACTGTTTCTCTGTTGTTTTACCAAAGGTCTAGATTTTTGCAAATCCATTTCTTGCTCATTACAAGTAGTTGGTTTCTAATAACGTAATGTTATTGGTTTTTTTCCATTGTACTACAAAAGGTCAGTAATAATCTTGAGCACCTATAACATAGTCAGCATTGTGTGTGTATCATTCAAAATCATCAGAAAGTAAGTTTCTTTAGCTCATTTTTGTTGCTTTGTAAACTTTCTTTAAAAATTTTGGCAATAAAATGGAACGCCTTCCTGACATAAGAAATTGCTGAAAAGTATGAAGTGGGCGCATGGGTGTGGATTTTCTTTTTTATTTACAATTTAAGTATTAATATACACATGCCAAGCTGACAACATGGCTGGGAACAGCAAGAACAATAGACACCACGCAAATCGACAAGGCACCGGATGATGATGATATACATACATTGCTTTGTCCTGCATGCTTGCTCCTGTTTAACTTTTTCACTACCATGAACCATGTTTCACGGCTCTCCCCTTCCTGCTTCAAAAGCACACCTTCTGTAATAATTGAAACTGAAATCTCAGGCTGAAGAATTATCGTTTTTAGCAAAAGTTAAGATAGGTCATTATTTCCCGTTTATTTTCATTTGTAATACGTGTGGCTAGTATTTAAAATTGAACTCAAAATCTTTAATTTGTCCAAGGGTAGGCAGAATCAGAAAGTAAGTCACAGATAGGGTCCGGTCCTAGTGAGGAAAAATCCCTTGTAGTGAAAGAGTTAAGATCTCTGCCTTTCTCATGACTCGAAAAAAATTGGGCTTTTTGTACAAATGGATTTCTCTTTCCCTCACAGGTTGTTCCTGTGACACTTGTGGCTCAGACAGCTGTGACAAGACCTTTGGAGTTTGTCAGTGCAAGTTGAATGTGATTGGCAATAACTGTGATGAGTGCAGGGTAAGGTCTGAGGCACAGTCTTCTTAGTTTTAGTTTTAGTAGGGGTTTTGCAGCGCTCACAACTGCAGAAGGTCATATCAGTGCTCGCACAGTCTTCTGTCAGTCACTACTGAGTTTCTATCATATGTTAGTAAGTGTGTTATGGAGAATCAACAAAGGGGCATTTGGAGTGTTTGAGAAAATAACAGAAGATTTCTGAGACATGAACGTCTCTTATTAACTCGTTTGTGTGTGCTTTGATATTTTGATCAAAACATTCCCCTTTCATTACAGTAAATTAAAAATATCTGAAGTTGAAAGTGTATTAGAAGGATACCACTTGCATAATGTATGACAAGGTTTTTAAGACGTAAAAGTCTCTTTTTAATTCGTTACGATGTGCATTGACATTTTGACCCAAATATTCAATTTTCATCACAGTTAACTGAAAATGAATGAAATTGAAAGCGTATAAGAAGGATACCACTTGCATAATGTATGGTTACATTAGGTGTGTGTGTGTGTGTTTAATGTGGGTTTATTCTATGATGAAGATGATCAGTGTTGATATAAAAAGCATTAGACATTGATGATAGTTTGTTTTGTCGAACAATTTTGTCATTGTAAATAATACTTGGCTGAGAGGTCAATTACTATATAATACTAGAAGATTTAATAGATTAGACGTTCTAGTTCACATTTTATGGGTTTCTGATTTCTTTTTTTAAACTCCAGCTTTTGTTGGTTGAATTGTAGAATGTATCATGATAGGCAAACATTCTTAACTCAACCATGAAAATGTAGTGAGGTGATCATAAATTCTTCGTCTTCATCCTCAGCCATACACTTGGGGCTTTGAGTCTTGCACGGGATGCTCCGACTGTGAGTGCGGCGTGGGCTCAGTCAGTCCTCAGTGCGACGTCTACACCGGTGTTTGCGAATGCCATCCTGGCGTGGAGGGGACCAAGTGTGACCGCTGCCGACCGGGATACTGGAACTATGGACCTGGAGGATGCCAGGGTGAGTAACTCTTTTTTAATAAATTGTTTTTCTCGAGTGAGAATGTTTTATCGATGGGGGTGTAAAACTTCTACAGTTACAAGAATTATACAGCCATTTTTTAATCAGTATTTTTGTGAATGAGTACATTTTTTGGTACTGTTTATAATATGTGAATATATTTGTTTGTGTCGTTAGTCCAAAGTGGATCTTAATGTCAGTTTTAATTTGATATATTTTTGTTGTCGATAGTTACAACTGAATTCTTTTTTGAAAATTGGTAATCATAAATGAATATTATTATTTGTTCATAGTGATAAATGAATGCATTTTGGTATCCTTTGATATAAATATCCCCAAGGTGATGTATGTGTAATTTTATTGTTTTTTCACCTCTGTGTCCTCTCTTCTACTTTGTTTCACAGTAAAATAATTTTGGGATACTTTTCAACGTGAGTTATTCTGTTCATTAAAAAAAAAAAGTAATTATAAGAAACTGTAGTTAGTGAAGTTGGTCAGCAGGTGGTTAGCAAGTGTTCAGGTGTGGTTTGCTCCTTCTTTCCTATCAACCAGCTATTGTTCTTATTTCTCCTCCTTTTTTATGTTTGTTACTCTCTTGTTACACCTCTAATCTTTGTCATGTATATGACCTTATTGAATTGCAAGTGCTGTAAAACTCTTACTAAAACTAACTGTTTGTTGCTCTCAAGTTACACCTCTAATCTTCAGCACGTATGTGACCTTATTGAGTTGCAAGTACAGCAAGACGTTTTACTAAAAATAAAACGAAAAGATGGTCAATTTTCTCCCCAGAGTGCAACTGCCTGAGTGACGGGGCTGTGGGCTGTGACCCTGAGACTGGACGCTGTGAGTGCCTGCCTGGAGTGACGGGTAGCCAGTGTGACCGCTGTCTGCCCAGATGGGTGCTCGTGCCCAATAGAGGTTGTCAGGGTAAGTTCAAAAGTATTTCTATATTAACCCTATATACGCCCTGGGATCTTTTTGTTCTCCCTGGGTTGTATTCTTCACATTTTAGAATACTTCTGTTACGAAGATCTCTTTGAAACTTTCAGTATTTAAAAAAAAAATCATTTTGACAGACTACCATGCGAAGCGTACGGATCGGATTAACGAATAAATTTCCTCTTTATAAAGTGGAGGCACAGAATTCCCCTCGTCGTATGGATACGATAGTAAAACACAACGTACGGATAGGGTTAAATATTTTCCTCATAGTCAAGAGATTACGGTATTTTCCTCTCATTCAATAGGTCCTGGGTTTGAAACCTGATAGTGACGGATAATTTTCTTCACTCAAATTTTCTCCTTTCACCTCCTTTCCTACTCTCTAACCATGTTCTGTCATTTGCTTTCATCTGCACTTTCTGCCCCCTCCCTTTTGCCCCCTCCTCTGGGCTCCTGACTCAGCAGCCTTTCTACTGCGACTCCTTAGCTCCTTCTTACTGCTGTCTTTCAGCTACACCCCTGATCTTATGGTAGGAAAGATGTAACACCTAGCCTTCTGCGATAAGGGCCAAAAAAGTTGGAGGTCCCATGTGCAAGTTGCACACTTTAAAGATCCCTTGTTGGTCCTAATATTGAGAAGAGCAGACTTTGGCCGCTACTTGGGCAATGAAAAACACTTACCAAACCAAAAAAGAACCCCCCAAAAAACCAAAAAACCCTTTTCTTTAGGGTACAAGTTGTTTGGGAGTAGGGCCTAATGACAAAAGTGGGAAAGCAAAGAATTATTCTTTTTTACTATACTTTCTATAACATATTGTTATTTTGTACAGTCTAACAATAAAGTGATAATTTTTTGCTTAATTTTTTTTTGTAAACTTACATTTGAATTGTAATCATATACTGTCCAATGTTTAGTCATCATTATGATCATTTTAATTATACCTTAAGTTGGACTATATATGCGCTTTTCAAATATGGGTTGTGACTAAGCTCGCATGTCTGTAACTAGACACTAGACTGTACAATTTTTAAAAATTATCTTATAAACTATGATTTTCCGTTTAGAGGAATGAATAAACTCTAGGATAGTTGGGATGACTTAAAAATCCATTCATAATTGTAAGAGTTTTGTGCTTTTATTGACATGACAAAATAGATCATTTAAGGGGCAGGCTGCTTTGATCCTGCCTGCCAGGGCCTTGTTGGGCTGAGTGGAATACAATATTCCAGCTAACAAATGGAGACACTCAGGAAAAAATAACTTCCACAAACAAGAACTGATTTATTTCTTCTGCATGCAATAGCAACAAGCCCATCTGCCCTACTACAGATGTTGATAAGATCAGTCGACAATCCTACAAAAAAGAACAGACTCTAAAGACAGCAAAAAATACCTCCAAAGAAAGGACAATAAAATTGGTGGGAGGGGGGAGCAAATTTATGTGACTACGTGACTAGAAATACAAGTTAACTAATGGTCATTTTCAGCTCACCTATTGTTGTGAGTAATGCAGCAGCTACCGGGTTGTCATTGCACTTAGAACGGTAGATAGGAGTTTGGACGGGTGGTTGGCGGGTACTCTGGTATGTTTTACTCCTTTTCTATCTTTCTTTTATTTTACTTTTATCCGCCGCTTTTACCCTTTTGAGTGTCGAGGGAAGAAAGAGATGTCTCTCTGCCACCAGCCAGAGAGCTTGGGTCAGGGGGATGCCATGAGTTGTTAGTGTATCCCTGATTTCTTTTCTATCAAATATCTATTATCCTGCTGTTCTTTGTATGTTACTCTTTAGTTACACTTCTAATCTTTGGCACTTACATAACTTATTTGTGTTGTACATGCCGTAAAACTCTCACTAAAACAAAAACTAAAATAGAATTTAAAAATCAGAGTTTTGCTCTAGCCAAATGGTATCACTGTTGTGGAAAGATCAAAGTGTATTTTGTTTCATCCTCAGAATGTGACTACTGCATCCACCTTCTGCTTGATGACCTGGATACTCTACATAGGAATGTGTCTGTGGTCAGTCGACAACTCGGGGAAGTCTCAGTGGGTGTCGGAGCTTTCAACCAGCTGGCAATATACAACGACACCATCAAAGCCTTGCGGGTATGACTTTTAAGTCAGTTTATGTATGCAAAGTTATTTCTTGAGAGAAATCGGTAATTACAATAATATTTTGTAAGAGCCTTGCAGGGAAGACTTTTAAAATTTGTTTAACGATGCAAAATTAATTTTTGATAGAAGTAGATAACCTGTCTCTGTGTTTCAGTATAAGATGGAACTTGTGGTTATTACACCCACCAACTACACTAGCAATAGGATCGATCATGTGCGAAAAGGTCACTTTCAATTCAAAATGAAAGATATCATATTATTATTTGTTCCTGCATAGGAATTTTTGTTTCACTGGCCTGTTCAATGATAGGACAAAATAGTTATAGGTGACATTTATCACTTGATTAGAATACTGTCTAGTATCACAAGTCCATACATTATATACTACCTAGGTACCCGTTCGAAGAATGGACTCAAAAGAATCTACTTTCAAGTCATTGTGGGTTCAGTGTGCACTGCATATGAATGGAAACCTCACTTGTTTTCAATGGCGTCTTAGAAGACAGACTTTCCCAAGATTATGTCTAAACGAAACTAATGAAAAACTGAAAATTAAACTACAGAGACTTTAGGCTCCTCAATAAAACTGTGCACCCTTTACATGATTCTGAACTACCATTAATTTAGCCAAATTCGGAAGTTGAGTGGTTCGGAAGTTTTAGGCGGCCAAAGTGACGAACTTTCATAAATATAATATATAGAGATATAGATAACGATTTGTGTAAAACGTTTTTTGTTTTGTTTTGTTTTTTTGTAGCCCGATGTTGATGCCCTGTCCAATATGGATACTGACAGCTTCAAAGCCCTGCTTGTTCCTGTGGAGGATGAAATGAGACAACTGGAGCAGGACGCTCGCAATGTCGGAGCTCAGGTGAGAGACGTAGATGTGTGTGTGTGCACTTATTATGTGTAAAACTAAATGGGAATCAGATTTCATTAACTATATTGGCTTAAATGAATACCTGGTGTGAGATGTAGATGCAGGCACTTACTGTCTGTGTAAAAATTTGATGTGAATGAGACATAATTAACTCTGGTGGAGGGGCATTTCGGAAGGGTTACTTCCGGTAAAACGGTGCGCACTTCTAGGGTTGATATGTAGTGATGCAGACCTAGCTGTTGACCTCTGGGGGCTCAAGTGCACTGATCCATTAAGATCAGGGGACCATCTATTGGTCATGGGTGTAAACTTGTAGGTCCACCATCTTTGCACTATCCCTTTGTCCATTTTGTCTGACTGTTCAGCTTTTTTTCCCCCTGAGCCAAGTCTTTTTTTTTTTTAAAGCACAGATTTGATGTTGTTGCTTTCAACTCATGAATTAAGCAAGAGTTGTTTGTGGTGATGTATTCATTTGTAGGATTTAAATTATACTTTTTAATTCTCTCAACACTCTTAATTCTTTCCAAATTTAATCCCAAAAGATTGGCAACAGCACCTATTGCAACCTGAAAGAAATAGAGTTACTTGAGTTGTTGGTGTGTTCATATTTTGCGCTATTTTCTCTAGGCTGATGCTGCTGTCTTTGAAGCCAACCAGATCCCAGGAGATGTGGAGAACCTTCTCCGTGAGACATCCGAGCTTCAGGGGCTTGTCTCAGATCTTAACGGAGTAGCAGAAGGTGAGACAGAAAGTTTGATGATTGTTCATGTTTTTCTCCCCCATCAGTACAATTCATAACATTTAGGAATTTTCTTTTTCAATCTGGAATATGGAGTTTTGACAACTTTCTACTTCTGTATGATCTGTGTCTGAGAAGGTAAAGAGTAACTCCTGAAAAACAGATTTGATAGTTGTAGTTTTGATTAACTCTTTATCTACTATACCGAGGCCCATTTTTGGTACTAAATCTAAAAATGATGAAAACGTTACTAAATTGGTCATTCAATCAAAACAAGTGGACCCATTGCGATAGTTTTTCATCTAATTAAAGAGACCTGTTTTCTGCAATTGCCGAAAAATAATATGATGTCGAAGTCATCGTAAAGAAATGTGCCCAAATGCTGTCAGCGGCTCACCGGCACAGGAGTTCCGACTGCGAGCTGCTGGGAGCGGCTTGCCGGAGATAAAGAGTTAATGTTGATTTTTCTCCTGACATTTCCTTTCTTTGTCACTTTACTTTATTTTCATATTGTGACCATTACCTTTTTAATTTTGCGTCTTTGGGGCTCATAAAAACAAGTATTTGAAGTGTGGTTTGATGTGGTGTACTCCTCCTATTCTAGCAAACATCAATTGTCCTTATCTCTCCTTCTTTTTTGTGTATGTTACTCTCTAGTAACACTTCTATGTATCTTAAAAGATGTATCTTATCTAGTCTTTGGCACTTATATGACCTAATGGTGTTGCAAGTGCTGTAAAATGCTAAGCAAAACAAAAACAGAAGCTCCAGAACTAAAGAAATAATCATGGTTATGGTAAAATTGCTTCATTTAACATTGTTTTGTTTCATCTTTATCCTAGATACTCTGAGGTACATCAACGATGTGAGACGCCAGATTCTGGATACAAGCAGCATTCGCAACATTGATTACTTTATCACTGAAGGTGAACGCATCCTGAACGAAATTAAGGATCTTTCTTTTGCTGCTCAGAACGAGTCATCCGTGGAGGAAATAGACTTTGCCATGAAAGGTGAGTTCTACTTAAGATTTCTAGATCATGACTTCCTTGATATGCTCCCAAGGAGAGACATAGTCTATACATTTGGAATCAAAGAAGATGTAAGGGTGTATGAAACTATGTAAAGGTGTGAGAGGCATAATTTTTATGGTAAGGAATTATTTTTTAGTCTTGAATTTTTTCAGGGTAGTGACTTAATAGCCTATTGTTCTACAATTTCAGCCACCAAGGATTGGTGTAGCACTGATATATGAAAAAAAGTTTCAGCTGTTAACATTTACCCAAGACTCTCGGTTGAATCTTTTCAGTCCTGGAAGATGTGCGGTCATTGAAGGAACAAGCTATGAATGGTATGAATCATACCAAAGGACTTGGGGCAGATGTTGCAGACATGGCATCCCGTCTGTACGACTTGCAGAACTCAAGCCGCTACTCTGTAGGAAATGCGGAGACCGCCTTGAGCACCATCCGCCGTCTGAGGGCAGTGGAAGTGGAGACTCTGTCGGTACGTTTCCTCGGTAGCCGGGCTTTTGTTTAGTAAGAGTTTTACAGCACTTGCAACACACTAAGGTCATATATTAAGTGCCAAAGATTAGAGGTGTTACAAGAGAGTAACAAAAAAAAAAAAAAAGGAAGAGAGATCAGGACGATAGATGTTCAATAGGAAAGAAGGAGCAAATCACACCAGAGCACACGCCAATCACCCACTTAGCCATCTTTTTTGGTTTGATCTTTTGGTAGGAAAAAACATGCACACTACAGACATAATAATCATACAAACATATATCATGTACATATATTACTTACTTTTACTTTTACTTTTTCATCCTCTTTTAATGTGAAGGGTCAAGGGAAGATGCAGTTTTCATTGGTAGGCCAGCTCCGCAGCTCTTTTCAATTGGGATATTATGATTTCTCAGGGTTTCTTTGACACCCTCTATCCATCTTTTGCTTGGCCTTTCTCATCCTTTGTAACCTGAGTGCTTGGTGTCGCAGGCTCCTGAGGCTGGCTGGCTAGGTGACATACGTAACAGGTGGCTAAACCCTTTTATTCTCCGTCTTTCTATGAAATGCAGGCAGTACTCTGTGCCAATAGCTGCTCTTACTTCTTCATTTCTCTGCCTGTCTCGGCTTGTGATGTTAAAGGTTTTGTGGAGACATTTCTTCTCACATGCAGTGATGTTGCCTTCATGAGTTTTACTTAATGTCCAGGTCTGGCACTGGTAGCATAATGTTGGTATGAATATTGAAGTATATATACATATATTAAAGATGCAATAATAGCATTTTAGATTTTAAGATATAACAACACAGTATCATCATTCTAAAAAGCACAAAAGATCAAACTAGTATCCAGGGGTCAGAGTAGATAAAGAGAAAAAGACAATGATGCCTAATACTGGTGATACATTTGTCCATCCATTCTTTTTCTTCTTCTCCTCGATCGCATCACACTTGAAGTCCGGTACCTGTCATAAATTGGGCTGTCCTGCTCAGTTCATCTGTTGGCCCGTATAGCTTCTCCTGTAGTGTCGGTGGGCTTGGCCATGTTTCCTGTCTCAGGGCCCTGTGTGTCCTGCAGTGCTGAAGGGTGTGTTCAACAGTTTAGTCCGGCTCTCCACACTGGCGTTTTGGTGATTGTGTTAGTTTAAAACATCTGTGCAAATGTTGTCTCAGCCTTGTGTGCTGAGTTCTTAGTCGGCAGATAATCACTTATTCTTCGTGGGACAGCTCATGGTAGCTATCTGGTGTCTGTGGTGCTTTAAATAGTTTATTTATAAAAGTTTTTATTTCTCTGTAGTTGACGCTGCTGTCTGGTTGCTCCTTCTGTGCTCCTAGTTTGGCCATCCTATCTGCCTGTTCATCTGTTCATTTCCTAAGACACCACAGTGCGATGGAATCCACTGCAGCATGATCCTCAGACATGGGATGTCCTCAATTACTTCTGGCAGCCCTGGTAGTTTGCTGGCAGTGTTTGCCTGCGGTACTGACATGGCATCTGTTTAGAATTTACTTGGCTTTGGGGGTCTACCACATCCCTGATGATTTTTGTTGCATGTGTTGGAGCCTCCATCTCTGCCCGGTAGTTTGTACAATGCTGCCCTGTTGGGACTGCCTCAGCTTGTTGTTGTATCCATCCATTGTTTTCTTTCCTTCTCAGAGGAGCTCTATGACCATCAAGGATGCAGTGATGGACAGAGAGGAGTTCTTGAAATCTTCCACTGATTTATTGACTAAAGCCGAGATGATGCTGACTGATGCAACTGATGCTGTTGAGGTGGGTTTTGTACATAGTGGTTTCATGCACAAGTGCTTTGGTGCCTGAATAGTTTGACCCAGCCTTTCACGACATAGGATTTGTGTTTTGGATAAAGTAGGCATAGAAAAGAGGGAGTAGCATTTTTTTATCCACCGTTTGGCAGTTCCATCATCCCCAACTCCCCCCCCCCCCCCCCCCCCCCCCCATTTTGCCAAACTAGATGTCTAGATAAGAAGAATTGTGTAATCAAGCTCAATATTTAGTAGAACTTGTTAGATTAAATCAACTTCCTGCAGTTTGTGGCAATGCTGTTTGCTGATTTCAGTTTGATATAAAGCTTAATTATTGTCTGTAAACTCAGGCATTAGAATACTCTCATGAGGATAAACTGTGGTATGTTATTTTTAAAAAATCCTATGCAGGTATGAAACTTTTTTTATTGCAATAATTTAACTTTTTTCCAAACATTTTAAATGCTTTTGAGATTCATACTTTCAGGAACGTAAGTTTTAATTGTTGTTCACTATCCTTGTTTAGGATGTGGCGAGAGAATCTTCGAAGATGGAGAGCGCCACGCCAGAACTGGAAACTCGAGTTAATGAGATTGCAAGCAGCCTTGATGATTTGCTGGATGTGGTGAACCGCTCACAGATTCATTCTGAGGGTCTGGTTGGAATAGCAGAGGACCTGGATGAGTAAGTCATCTCTCTGATTCTTAAGATAGCTAGAACTGATAAACATGTTGATGGCTGAATGAAAGCAAGACTCCCAATGAACATGATATTGCATTTTCGCATTTATCAAGAGTTGTGCATCCAGCAATCAATCAGTGCGTTCATTTTCGTTTTATCTGTTTCAGTTTGCTGAAACTTTATATCATGGAAAATGCATTTAAAATGAATTCAAAAAGTTCTTGATGGCTGAGCTTTATAATACTTCACTCACTGTATTGGTTAATTGGCTAGTGATAACTCATTTAACTCATTTAGCTGCTGTTATCATTTTCCTTATTGTGGGTATTATATGTCTTGGTGTGTGTGTGTGTGTTATATTCTCAATTTTATTTTGTATTTCAGACTGTATGAGAGCACTAGGGATATCTCTGGAAATGCTGTGAAGGCTGGTCAGGCTTACAAGAACATTCTGGATGCCATAGACCAGGCCAGAGTGAGCGCGGATGATGCCCTTTTTGATGCAAAAATTGCTCAGAATGAGGTATGAGTAATGCCACACAATATTGTAATACAGTTGAATTTGTTCTAAATACCACCTGCTTAAGACTATCATCTGCACAAACATCCACTGTCAACTTCCCTTCCTCGCATTTTTTTTCTATAATAATATTATAGAGGACACTATCCAAGGGGACTACCTATCTAAGCTCACCGCCTTTCTCATCAGTAATGATTGGTCGTCTTGAATTAGTTTGATTTGTGTATAATGTGAAATATGGTCGCTTTTAAGGACAAGCGAGCTAACCCAGATTTCGGGGGATTCCAAAAATCTTGACCTACACCAAAATTGGGCATTGCCCTTCCTATAGTAGAAGTTTGGTTTCATTGGTGTGTATAATTGTTTGGTTATAGAGAAATTTCTCCTTGTCTTTTAGAGAAATTGAACAAGGGTCCAAAAACTTTACCTTCGGTTTTCTCAAATCAGCATTTCCCGGGATATCCCCCTTGTGCTTCAAAGCGACCATATAGAGCATTGGATCAGGTCATATGGATGTCTGTGAATGGGAGATTGTGGAGATTTGTGGTCTTCAGTCTTGAGGAATTTAATTAAAATATGTCTCGACGCAGTGGAATCAGGGCTCATCCATTTTGGGGCATATGGAGTTATTGGTATCTTCTTAAAGGTTGTTCATTTCCTTTGCTTTTGATTAAAAAAATATCCATTTATCTTGAATAGAAGTCAAGATTTTTGCAATTGAGTGAGGTGGGGGTCGCCTGGTTTCAGAAGTAAAATTAGTGAGAAAATGGCCGCCAAAGTTAGGTGACTTCCACAGCTTAAGAGTCCTTGGAAACTGCAAATTTACATTTTTGTGCCTTAAATCAATGTTTTTCCATAAAATCCACACATAAAAATGTTTTTGAAAGGAGATACAAGATGTTGAGCTAAAAAAACAAAAATTAGGAAAAAATTGCCAAACTGGTAAAAAAAATGCCAATTTCTCACATTTCATTATTTTGACGAGCGGCTGGTTTCACCACGATGCCTCACATATGAAGATGTTTAAAACTTTGTGGGTTCCACATAATTTTGAGATTTATGTCATAATCTTTGGTGTGTGACTGGAACGTAAAGTACTAAAGTGTTCATGCGACAAACAGTGTGTTTGTTTGTTGTAAACTCGACATGTTTGTGGAAAGGAAGGGAGAGGGAAGGTGTCTTGAATTTAGATAATAATCGTGAAGTTTGCATGTACAGTCAAACCTGTGTAAGATGGCCACCCATTGTCAAGGAGAAAAGTGGCTGTATAAGACAGGTGGCCGTCTTAGGCAGGACTGATCAAGATGAAGAAAACAAACCCCATTCCCAATCGAAAGTAGCCGCATTATTGTTGTTTTTGTTGTTGTTGTTGTCGGTTTGTATTTTGTTTGTTATTTTTATTTTTTTGCTGATTTTGTGCAAGGGTGACAATAAAACGAAATGTGTCAGACAAGGAGGACCGAGTGTTGACGTCCATTGTTACTTTGTTACAGACTGGGTAAACAGTGACCACTCATCTCACTTAGGATTTGTGTATGAGTTCTGGGCGGGGCTTATGAGTTACAAGGGATCACACGCTTCCCTCACCAGCAGCTGAAAATTGATACCTATTGGTCAACAGTGGGAGGGGCCTACGCAACATGATTGGTTGAAGGGACTACCTAATAATAACGATTATGACGGCTCGCCCACAACGCCAGGGTCAATGCACAATTAATGACAAAACGTAATGGAGTCACTAAGGTGGCCGTCTAAGACAGGTGTTATTGCCTAGTGTGATAGGGGTTGTGTGTTAAAATATGGTGGCCGCGGCCGCGTTGGACAGGTGCCCGTTTTACACAGTTAAATTATATAGAAAAAACGCAAGGGGGGAAATGGAAAGTGGCCGTTTGTACAGGTGGCCGTCTTATAGAGGTGGCCGTCAGGACAGGTTCGACTGTACTGTCAAACTTTTTCTATTCACCACCTGTTCAAGACAATCACCCATACAAAAGACCACTTCCGCCTTGTGATTTTTCTGTAGGCTTATTATAACAACACTGTCTAAGATGACCACTTTCCTCTACATCAATGGTGGATCTTCCTGGAGGAGTTTGACTATTTGTGAGGCAGCGTGGTGAAATCAGGCACTCGTCAAAATACAGTAATTGGAGAAACAGGCATTTTTGCGTGTTTGAACATTTTTATCAAATTTTTAGTTTTTGGCTCAGCCTATTTTATGTCCAAATAAAAATGCATTTTCAAGTGAATTTAAATGAAACACATCGATTAAAGGCACAAAATAAGTCATTTTTCTGTTTTCAAAAACTCTTTAGCCATTTTCTCACTAATTTCACCACCGAAACCAGGCGACCTCACATCCTTCAATCGCAGATATCTTGAGTTCTATTCACAATATATGGGTATTTATTTCATTGGAAGCACGGCAAGTAAATCAGCTGTCAGATGATATCAATAGCTCCTCTTTCCCAAAAATTGATGAGCGCCTGACTACACTGCGTCGTGACACATTTGGTTTTTTTTTTAACTGTAGTTTTTTCTTTTTGATGTCCTCAAATGTGAATATATATATACATATGCTTTTTCTTTAACTGTTTCGTAAAATCTCTTTCTCTTCTCAGTCTTTGGGAGTCGGTGACAACGTGACTATGTCTTTGGAATACAGTCAAGATCTATTGACAGAAGCTGAAGAGCTGTATGACAAGACTCAGATGGGTGAGAACAATTACTTTTAAACCGTTCTTTTAAAAAAGCTTGAATGTTCCATTATTTCTGGGGGTTTTCTGCCATGATTTCTTTTTGTGTGCAATTCAATACATTCGTTCTAGAGATATTTCATTTTAAAAAATGGCACCTAGATTCAAAAGCATATCATATCATACCAGTATATATTTTGTTTTGGAAAGAATTTAGAAACAGTATTCATTCTTTTGATCTTTTGTTATAAATTTGTTGTTGCTATATGTCCACTCTTGGTATGCAAAGTGCCAGTTCATTTGAAGCCTGAGACGACTCAATTGTTTACAGTCATAACAAAAATGTGTGAAAGTCTAGCAAAATTATATTTATAATCAAACATGGAGCATTCCTTTTTACTCAGTTTGGTGTTTATTTTTATTCAAATACTTTGAATGTGGGTGGTTGACGGGTGCTCTGGTGTGGTTTGCTTCTTTTTTCTTATCAAACATCTTTCGTCTTTATCTCCGCTCCTTTTTTGTGTTTTTTACTCTCTTGTCTAATCTTCGGCACTGATATGACCTTATTGTGTTGCAAGTGCCCTAAACTCTTACTAAAACTAAGCTTAGTTTATGCATTTTGGACCGTTGCATCTTTTCACAGAATTCTTTGACAGAAAGACCGAGGCTGAGGTTTCCGTAAATGAGGCAACTGATGATAACAGCATGGTGAGACAGCAGCTGGACACTATCAATAGCCAACTGGAACTTTTGAAAAGTAAGTCTGGGATGGGTCTGGTATGTTGCAATTCATTTATAAGACAAAATGTTTTTATAAAAAGTTCACAAGTGTCTGCTCACTTCTTTCTTTAAGAATCTACTGAAAAACATTCCAAGTTGTTAACCACCGTGTATTTGATACATTTTGCGCATCCTTTGATTTTACTGAGTAATATTAAATACTTTACACATTCTTTGATATAATTCAGATCATTAAGAATACTAGCTGCGTTAACCTTACCTGTCGGGCCTGAGTGGGGTACACAATAAAATAAACCTCCCCATGTGGGAATTGAATTGATGTCTTCTAAATGTGATTGCAAAGAGGCTAACCTTCCTACCACAGACACCAGTTTATATGTCCGCAAAGATGCTAATGGAAGAATACGTACCTAATCTTGATTATTATTAGAACCGTACACTGCGTAAACATGCGTTTAAGAGTGTTTTTGAGAAATACTTTTTTAGTTGCGGATTCAAGTCTATGGTGCTGTATTTTAAAATGAAATAGATGTTTAAGAGGCTTGAATAATAGTAAAATAAAAATCAGCAGTTTGCACATAAGCTTTCTTTGTCTGTCTGGTCAGTTATGTAGAAGAAGTTGTATTTTTTCAAACAAAATAAATCGAAGAGGAATAAAAAGTGTTGATCATTGCTGGACTCTTATTACAGAGAGGAATTTGGGACTTTTGAGTAAAATGTTAACGATTAGAGAAAATGTTTGTAGTCTCGTGTCCTTAAAAAGCTGAGAAAATCATATTTCTTCATCCAAAATACTAATGAGAAAGTCAAAAAGAGACAGAAAAAAAAAATACTTAGAGAAATAACTCTCTGGGTAAACAGTTGGGTAGGGTTAACCATTTTTCCTTATTGGTGTAAAGTATTTATGATCTTTCGTCTCAATTTCTTTGCTGTTTTATTTCATTAGACCAGAAAACTGATGCTTTTGGCACCCTGATGGACAAAGCTACTGACGCCGAGGCACAGGTGGATGAAGTTGTGGAGAAGAGCAAACCAATCATTGATGATATGGCGGATATTGAAAACAAGATGAACTTCATCCTTCAGAACAAACCTAAGATTTCTGACAACATGAGGCAGTCAAAGGACAATTGTGAGTATTGATGTTCATTTTGTTTTCATTGAGTTAAGAGCAACGCATCAATCAACATAATTTTGGTCATAATTAGTGCAGGGAAAAAAGTAAAACAGGCAGACAACTGAGGGAAAGAAAAGAAGTAGGACCTGTCAGTGGTGCCCCAACCTCCCACATATTGATGATCAAGCATGAAAGCATCTGCTCCCATTTGTTGTTAGAAATTGTTTGTTCTCTGTTTTATGGTGTTCTACCATATGTGTGCTACTTTTAAAAAAATCTTAAGGCACACTGATTGTGACTGTCACATATAACAAAGACTTTTAAAAAATGTTTACTTAAACTAGGGTACATCATCTTGCTTTGCTTAGCATTTGCCTACTTCTAGAGAGAAGGAAACTCCTCTGATTCTCTCTGTTAATTTTAGACAGGCGTTATGGCAAGGTGAAGGCACTTTGACAGATCACTGCATTTGCGAGAATGTTCTGTTACCTTATGAAAAATGAGACAAAAAAGAAAAATTTTCAGCCTCTGACTATTTTTGTTTACTTTTTTCATAAAAGCAGTTGTACAGAAAAGAAAATGTGATGGTAACTTTGTATTTCGTCTTCAGGACATGCAGCCCGTAAGACTGCGTCATACTATTATCTTGTGTCCTTGGGAAAGTTTTTCTTAATTTCACTCAGATGGGAATGGCTACTCAGAAGAACAGTGATAGATCTCATCAGTTCCTCTTGTTTTAAAGGACCTATCGAATATCACCTTGCACTGATGTTTCCCAGAAAGCTGAGAATGTTTCAGAATGTTAACTTGTCTCTTGTTGAAATAATGATTGTAATGTGCATAACTACCACTGAACTGGGATATAGGACTACACAATTAAATTAATTTCTATTGTTTTTCTCTTCTCCTTTTCTGCATTGCTTCATGGTTATCAGTGGACTCAAGTGAGAAGAATCGCCCTGAAGTGGAGAGTCTGCTCAATAGCTTGTCTCTGAATGCAGACAAATTGGTGGAAACTAGCAATGATGTGGAGGTCAGCGTGAAATCTTTGAAGGAGAAGATTGCAAGAGCTAGAGATGAAGCGAACAGGGTAAGGAATTCTTTTCATAAGTGATCTGAGCTGCCCAATGAAAATTCAAAGAAGTAGATTTTATAATTTATGTTTGTCTTCACTTTTTTAACTCGTTTGTGTAAGACATCATTTGAGAAGCCCATACTGTAATCGTGTCTTCAAAGGTGAAAACTGTGAGCTATAAATATTTTGTTCAAAAGCTAGTTTTGTGAAGACTTAAGATTTTTGTGCAAAGTAAGTAAAGTCTATGCTTTATTAAAAACTGTTTGGAAAAATAGTTTTAGATTATTCAATTAGTGAAAAAAATATCAGTTTTATCCGTTTGGGCATTAGTGTGTCTGCTTTCAGAGAATGCACAAATTTGTCACGTTCATATCTTGACATACTTAGTAAAAGAGATTAAATAAAAGGCAAAACGTTGAGTAATAATCTTTCTAAATGCTAGTCAGTGACTGCTGTCTCCTTTCTAATACATGTGTTATAACTTTTTCTCCTGGACAGATTCGTGTGGGTCTGCGATTCCTGGGCAATACCACAGTAACCCTTCGTAACCCACCCATGCTGGAGGACACTGGCTCGTACAGCAAGGTCTCCGTCTTCTTCAAGACCACACAGGCAGATGCCCTGCTGCTGTACATCGGCAACAACCAGAACATGGAGACAGTTGTGAGTAGATTGTTTTGGATTGGTGGATTGTGGTCTAAGTCTGCGAGTAGATTATCTTACTGGAATGTAGTCTGTGAGTGCGTTATCTTACCCGAATGTAGTAAGTGAGTTGGATATCTGTCTGGAATTTAGTCTCTAAGTAGATTTTCTAGGAGAATTGAAGTACATTAGTAGATTATTTTGCTTGAATGTACTCTTTAAGCTGATTATCTTACTGACATACAATCCTTGAGAAGATTATCTTACTGGAACGTATTCTTTGAGTAGATAATTTTGGTGGCTTGGAGTATTTTTGATTATCGTGTTTGAATGTAGCCTGTGAGTGGATTATCTGAGTGGATTTAAGCCTGTGAGGAGATTATCACAAAGGATTATAGTCTAGGAGTAGATTATCGTAAAGGTCTGCTTTGGTTTGTAGTATTTATCAGAATAGACACTTTCACCTCTCGATGTCAATTCAAGGTACAGTCGAACCTGTGTAAGACGGAATCGCAAGGGAGCCAGATAAAAATTCCATCTTAGACAGAAGAGGTTGGGGGGGGGGGGGGGGGGGGATTCAAAGGCCCAGCCGGTGGGATCAAGGATCGCTTGTCCGATCGGCAAGCAATGGTCAAAACTTCACACCTCTCAATTGCTATTCTGTCTAATAATGACATGCGTCAGTCTTACTTATCCTATTACCACCAGCACTTGCCTTTCATAGGACCACTGTTTGACCTATTAAAAACTGAAATGTTTGAACATCTCCTTTGCTTCCAGCCTTAGCCCCACCCACCAATGCCACCCCTCACTGCCATCATTGTAACAACGATTCGAGGAACTCTTTTCTTGGCTGGCCGTACGATCAGGGCGGCAGGCATTGGTCAATCTAATTCACACCTCTGGCTTCTGGCCAGGCCTACCCAGGAAAGTTTCCATGGTGGCTGGCTACTCGAGCACTCTCACGGGCAGTCGTGAGGTTTCACACGCACACCACACTGACCATCTGCATTGCTCAGGGCTCACATGATGGGGTAACATCTACCCCCAAATTGCACCCCTACTCCCCTTCCTCGGCCTGCGACATGGCCATAGTTAAATTTAGAGCCGAATTTGCGAGTTTTGTTTCAAATCAGGGCTGAGTGGGCAAAGCATTTTCCATCTTAGACAGGTGGAACCCTCAGAAGGGAGCGGATTTTTCTTTCCGTTTTATACAGGTAATTAAAGAGGAATGTATCAAGGGGGGAGCGGGGAGATTCTGTTAAGACAGGTTTCCGTTTTATACAGGTTTCGTTAAGGCAGGATCGCTGTATATACATTGTTAAAATTTTTAGCATGGCATAGTTAGTAACTCTTTTGTATTATTATTCTACAGGAATTCGGCCGCGTGAAGCGATCTGCTGTTGAGGAAGTGAGTCTCTCTCGAAGCGTGCGCCAGACTGCAGAGTTTGAGAGTGATTACATGGCTTTGGAGCTGCGTGGGGGCAGAGTGGTGTTCACCTTCAACTTGGGCTCTGGTTCGGCAAGGATCATCAGCGACAGACTGGTCAATGACGGAAAATGGCACCAGGCTATGGGGCAACGGTAAAAAAACAAAAAACTGAATTCAGTTTTTAATTATAGCATTAAATATCATACATGCATTTATGTAAAGCATCTAGAGCTGTGTTCATACATGAGTGGGTGCTATAGAAATTATCTTCATTATTATTATTATATTAGCACGATTATTGTCATTAATAACAATAGTAATGATAATAATAATAATAACAATAATAGATCGCATTTGTATAGCCCTCTATCCCATACAGTATAAGCTGTGAGCTAATACCATTACTGTGGTTAAAAAAATGAGATTTAAAACAAAATTGCAAGATAAGTTGAATAACAGATGTTAAGGTAAGGCGTAGGACCCTTCCAACCACAGACTTGAGAAGTAATGACGGTGGCTACATGGCTTTCTGTATGAAGTGTTGTGGCTGTCAATTCCGTTCTGTGTATGAGTCAACACCTGGCTCAGTTTATCAATGATGAACCTGGCTTAGTTGGCAGAGGATAATTATCTTTGGGCATCAAATATGACCAAGCTTAGGATTAAAAATTAATTTAGGCCCGGGGGGGGGGGGGGAGGGGGGGGGACAAAGGGGGAGATAGAACTGTCTTCAGTTCTTTGATAAAATAGATCTGCAGTCAAATGTACCTTAACCCTATCCGTACGTCGTGCTTTACTATCGTATCCATATGACATGGGGAACTCTGTGCCGCCACTCTCCAAAGAGGAAATTTACTTGTTAATCCGATCTGTACGCTTTGCCTTGAAGTCTGTCAAAATGATTTTTTGAGAAATACGGAAAGTTTCAAAAAGGTCTTCTCATTAGAAGTATTCTAAAATGTGAAGAATACAACCCCAGGGGTACAAAATAACCCCAGGGCGTAAGGATAGGGTTAACAATCTGCTGTCCAAGACAATCACGGATAAAAACGACAACTTCTCACTTCCCTATTGCGTTTTTTCTTTAACCCTTTCAGCCCCAGCAATTTTTGTGCACTTCCTAACATCAGTCCCAGTCAATACAGCAATATTTCTGAAAAAGATGCAAGCATTCAGAAAAGTGATGTAGTATCTCTGTAATGAGGTTTATAGAATAATAAATAACAATGTTTAAAGGTAAATGAACAAATATTATGACAATTTAAGTTTAATTAGGTTTGCTAATTTCTAAAAACTGTGCAAATTCCGTATCCCCCAAAACTGAGAATATACGCTCTTGGGACAAAGGGAGTTATGAACACTGCTGAAAATATACGCGCATGGGGCAGGAAGGGTTAATATAGTGACACTACCAAAGAAGACCACCTGTCTAAGATGGCCACTTTTCTCCTCAATAGTAGGCGATAGTCATGGACAAGTTTGACTGTTGTTTCGTTTTAAACTCAAACAAACAGTTTTTGGGACAAGCATGATAATTTCTCCTTTCTTTCTAACAGAATTGGCAAGACCGGTTCATTAACCGTGAAGTCGAATGAACAGGATGATGAGATCAAAGAAGGCACATCTCAAGGAACGTTTGCTGTTCTTGAACTCAACAAGCTGTCAACTCTGTTCCTTGTTGGTGGTCTCCCTGATGATGTTAAGGTAAGATTTTTAAGTAAAAGGTATCAGAAATGAAGATAATTATTTGAACACTCTGTATTTGCAAGAGCAGTTTTATTTTAGTAAGTGACTCTATACATCCATGCATTCAGCATAGCCTTTTGAAAACTGTACAGATGAGATGTCAAATGTATTATTAGGAACATCATGAAGAAACTTGGTTGATTATTATTGTTAGACTTACCATTCAACAACATTTAACAATAAACCACCAGTCAAACAAATATGAAGTTATGAGCCCACAAGCTTTTAAAATTGGCACCCTCACTATTTCCTCTTTGTGACTACCGTCGTTTTTCCCCTGTGCTCTTCATTTGTAATGTTACTTGTTATAGATTCCTCGAGACATTACCACACAGATGTTTGAAGGAGGCATGGAAGACCTGAAATTTGACGGTGAGCCCGTGGGACTTTGGAACTTTGTGGCAGGTGAAAACAACTATGAAGGAGAGCAGGAGAGGTAAGTGGGCAGCTTTAGTTTAACTTGTCTTTTTGTTGAGAGGAAATTAATAAAGAAAGAGTGAAGGCTTCGATAATTGCTAATCAAATGTTTACAGTGTCAGATTCCAAGTTTTAAGATTGTGCTTCTCTTATACCTGTCTGACCTTTAAGAACGTAACTGGGAAGTGATTCCGTATTTTGTCTCTTATTTCATCTTTTAGACAATATTCTTCAAGCCAAGATTTTTATGTTGTTTATTAATCAAACGAATATTTGTCTCAATTGACAGAGATTTCCTGAAACAGATCTTCACTGAAGGAGTGCGCTTCAACGGCATGGGATATGCAGTTCTCAGCAAAGGTGGCCTTAGGCTGAAGCCTGACAGAACTCGTATGTCTCTGTACTTCAAGACATTTGCTGAGGATGGACTGCTCTTCTACATGGGCGAAAAGGATTATTTCTCTGTGGAGACTCGCAGAGGAAAGGTCATCTTCCAGTACGATTTGGGAGGTGGTGCTGCCATCATGGAAACATCCGACTCTTACAATGACGGACAGTGGCATCAGATCACTATTGACCGCGACAAGAGAAACGCTATTCTGATTATTGATGAAAGGATTGAGGGTATGTGTTTTGAGTATCACAAAATATCACCCTCTTATATTATACTATTAGATTTTTTTAAAACTGCTATTGTTTTCAGTTGTCATTTTCACCGACTACAGAAAGAATGTATACATAATGTAGATAATCAAAATATGAAACTTTCCAGATTAGTTAGCTGATGCTTCCTATGTTTGTATCTTTTGAATTCTCTTATGCCATTTCTTTAGCTTTTATTTTCGTATCAACTTCTTGTTTTGATAAGATAATAATTTTTGTTGTGCAAGCCAATGTCATTTTAGTTTAAGTCAATTATCATTTGTTAATCAAGGCTACTGATATTTTTTTCTTTTTATATTCATCTCCCAGAAATCACCACCGAATCAAAGGGTAATTTGAATAATCTGGAGACAACAAATGACATCTACTTTGGTGGTATTGACAATGTCCTCATTCCATCTCCGTGAGTAAAACCAATATTTCAAGCAGCTTTCATAATTTTAACTCTTTATTAGAAGTTGTAAGAATAACATGCATGATTAGATCCTCGGATAAATCATATATTTTTAGGATTTCTCTTGAATGATAATATTATTATAGTTGTTCAACAACTGTGGTTGCTCAGGGAGTATTTTTTATGTCTGTGTTCAGAAAGGAGCAGATTGTGGTTTTTTTTACAATTTTGGGATAAGTTCTGAATATTTTTATATACTTTTTTAAAAAATCTGTATGCAGCAGATGGTATCTTGTTAATTTTTTTATGAAATGGCGTAATGATGGAACCAACTTCCTGCAAATCTGTTTTATGTGGTTCTTTTAATCTCACAGGAGTGTGATATCTACTGGATTCGACGGTTGTCTTAAGGACATAGTTGTTGGCTCTGTTGCAATAGATCTCTTTGACAACAAGAGGGCCAAGGGTGTTGTGAAAGGCTGTGCTCCTAAGGTATGTGTAACAAAGAGCTAAATATCTTTACTGTATGTTTTATGTATTTATGTATATTTGCACATGGCATGGTCAGTGGAAAACCGAACAGAGGACTTTTTTTTTTTGGTAAGTGTTTTACGGTGCTCGCAACTGCATAAGGTCATATGAGCTCGCGGGACACACCTAACATTTTCAGTTGGTAGGAAATTTTGAATTTTGCCTGGGTGGCGGCCGAAGCCTACTCTTATCGTTTCTCAGTAAAGTCAACATAAAAATGTGTTCTTTAATGGGTATGAAAGTTGTTGAGCCGAAAAGCAAAAATTTGATAAAAATTCCGTAACCTGCAGAAAAATGCCAGTTTCTTGACTTTCGTTATTTTGACGAACGCCTGATTTCACCACGCTGCCTCATATTTTATCAATTGTTTTGTTCGAGGGTTTTTTTTTTCGGAAAGAATGTCTAATCCTGTTTCTACCAACTTTTGCAGGTGACTCACCTTGTGTCCTTCCCAAGTACCAGGAGCGGTTACATTGGACTCGAACCCGTCAACGTTGGCTCGGCCTTCGATGTGACGTTTAAGATGAGGACTTTGTCAAAGAATGCTCTCTTGATGTTTACTTCTGACAGGGGGGAGGTGAGTAGTGTGCTTGCCTTTAATGGTGTAGATTTCTACACAGTTATACTCCGTCTAATTTTTTTTTTTTTACACTTTGCCACCTCATTTCGCCGATTGGCGATGTTTACAAGCCAGTCTCTTTGGATTTTCCCAAAAATATGATGGCAAAGTGTTGAAGAGTGGGGTTATCTGCAATAAATATAAAAATGGGGCTGAGGTGGTTAAGATGCTTGTTTCATTTTGTACTGATGGCGAGCTAGGTTGTTTGCACAAACATTTTGATTGGTACTTCTCATAAACTATGAAAAGAGACCTCTGCCTGAATACAATCATATGAATGGAAACTCTGTCTCGTAGAGATCTGAACTTTCCCCTTCTATTTTCAAGTGTTCTGACTTTGTGTAAATGAAAACACCAAGCTATTACAAAACTGGTCATATTTGCTAACTTTATTTCCTTACCTTACTAGTCATTGAATTTCGTATGATAAAACAATTACTGTCTGGAGTAAAGCAAAAGTGAATATCTGGCAATCTTTTGAAGAAGTTGGCATAGTTTTATAGTTTTATTGTCTTTAGGAAAATGGGAAATCCCTTATTAACCTCTTGTTTTTCCCAAAATTGGAAAATTGTAACTGTCTTTTCTTTTATTGAAATCCTTGTGTGGATTAACTCAATCAATGCTGAGCGCTCCAGCAGTGAACTCCCCTCATATACTGGGCAGTTTGTCATGGCAATATGAAATTAGGTCTACCCACGAAAATAAATAAATAAAAAATGTTTCCTTGACCTTTCCCATAATGCATCACGATTAGTAAAATAACTTGGTATGGATTAGATAGAGTAATTCTTTCTACAAAGATAGCGAGGCAGAATGCGAGAATACTCATCGCAATTATGTGTGCGGGGCCCAGGTTCTGTTAGTATTCTCGTCCCTAGCGCTGAATGAGTTAATAAGGTTCCCGTTAGTGGCTTCAAAAGTCACATATTGGTTTCACGGGTATTAATGATTCTCTTGTTTGTTTTCTTCATACAGTCCAATATCTTTTCCGTGGCGGTGTCTGATGGCCGTATTGTGGTCAGTGAGGAACTGGGCAGTTTGTCCTCTCAACTGACCAGTCGCATCAACACTTATGGAGATGGACAATGGCATTACATCTCCATCATGAAGATGGGCCGGAAGTAAGTTATAATGGACTTTAACTTTCTTTTTGTTTGTCATGATTATGGGCTGCAAGACTTAACATTTGACCAGAAGGAACAATATATATGGTCACTTTTGAGGACAAGCAGGCTAACCTAGCTTTCGGGGGTTTGCACAAATCTTGACAGACACAAAAAGTGGGCATTGCCCTATGTATAGGAAAAGTTTGGTTTCATTGGTGTGTATATTTGTGTGGTTATAGAGAAAACTCTCCTTGTCTTTTAAAGAAACTGAACAAGGGTTCAAAAACTTTACCTTTGATTTTCTCTAAACAGCATTTTTCGGGATAGCCCCCTTGTGCTTAAAAGCCACCATATTGCACACAATTAGTTCAATTAGTTTCAGGCTGCAGTAGGGTGAGAATGGATATAATTCAAATCTCTTATGAGATATTAAGCGACCATATTGCACACAATTAGTTCAATTAGTTTCAGGCTGCAGTAGGGTGAGAATGGATATAATTCAAATCTCTTATGAGATATTAAGCGACCATATTGCACACAATTAGTTCAATTAGTTTCAGGCTGCAGTAGGGTGAGAATGGATATAATTCAAATCTCTTATGAGATATTCTTAAACTTGAGTTGGTTTGGAAACATTAAAGGACTGCCAACCACTGAGCTCAGGCCTGTCATAGTTCCCACCTTATAAGTATACTTACAGCATTGAAAGGAAGGTAAGCTCATACCATACTATACGATGCTATATACTATTCTTTGGGTATTTACACAAATAAACAGAATGTATAGCAGAGTAGTTCTAGTTGCAAAACCAAAGTGTGGCTCGGTTTTGACAGAAATGAGTGTTATAATAAAGAAGTTACAATGACAAAAGAACATGATAGATATGACAGTTTATTGGACAGATAGACATTATTATCCATGCAAGCTTTACAAAAGCATTGATCTTTGAATTAAGTGGGCTTGATACTTACACGACAACATTTTTAACAACTTTTGTCACAGGCAGTAAGTATAAGACAAAAGATTCATGTTCAACTGTTAACACACTCGATTACGTAAGTCGTTGCCATGTTAACGGCGGCCATCTTGAAAAAAGGGTAGACATTTTTTTTTTCTCCACCATTTCTACAGTTTTTAACTTTTTAAAATTCTGTAACTTGTAAAATGTCACAAATAAATAGGTGCTTGCAGGTGGCTATTTTGATTTTTGATAATGTACTTAGAAAGTATCCTAAATTGTTCTCAAAGTTGGGGATATGGAATTTGATCTTTAAAAAATATTTTTGGCATGAAAAAAAAAATTGTTAAAAAATTCTAAAGAAAATGTGAAAAACTAACCAGTCCACTAAAAGTACGAACCATTTCTATAACTACTTGCCAAATTTCAAGTCTCTGAGTTGGAAAATTTAAAAATGGCAGAGAAAAAAAACCCGGCATATGCAAGCAAAAGTAGTGAAAAAACGTGTTTTGAAAAACAAGGTTAAACATCAAAAATGTTAGTACACAACTTAAAACTCAGTAAAATTTAATTCTGTAAATGTTAATCACTCAGTGATTAGATCTAGTGTCAATAAAATGTAGACTGAATGAGGGATCAGAAAGTACCAAAAGTAAAAAGTGCTCAGAGTGAGTGAAAATCAGTCCCCGAGGCCCTAAACCCAACCCGAGATCCTCCTTAAATAAGTTATCAAAGAATCATTGTCAAAGCAGGGCTCCTCATGAATTGTCTAAATTGTGCAGACTGAGAGCATAAAACATTAATACGAAAAGGCACGGAGGTCTCGGTTCATTCCCTAAATTACCTTACGTTCTGTGTATTCTTTGCTCCTCTAACTGTGTGTTGAGAAAAGCATGTTGGGGGGGTGGGGGGGGGGGGGGTGGCTTGTGATTTGATTCTCATTTTGGGCTTGCTCTGTTCTTTTTTCTTTTAGGCTGACTATGAGCATCGATGACTCGGAGATGGTTGAATCACAGAGTGTACCTGGAGAACTCATCACAGAAAGACCTCTGTACTTTGGTGGTCTACCCCTTGACTTTGTCGTCATATCCCAGGTGGTTCCCACAACTCAAGGGCTTGATGGATGCATGGGTGATATCACTATCAACAAAAAGTAAGAAATGTTTGCATTTTTGCGTATGAATGACACTTGATTCATGTTTTCTAGTAGTTTTGTTTTCTAAATGTATTCCTGTCACATTTGATATAGACTGATATTTAACTCATTCGCTACGTATTATTTTCGGCTTGTGGACGAATTTTTTTTCGGGAGGGCGAATGAGATGATGACGAGTGGGCAGTTAAAAGGTCTTTGGGGCCACAAATTCAAATAAATATCAACGTATTATATACCAATATTTTCAGTATGGTTTGTAGAATACATCTGTAATGTTTATTTATGTATTTTTCAACTCTGGTTCCTGTAAGAGACGATTATGCAACACAATTTTGATTGGATGCCGATAAAATTTGAAAATAAAAAATTAATAATCTTTGGTGAAACTCAAAAAATATGTTTGCACCTAGTCAAATGATACATCAAAATAACCATAAATGAGTATAGAACTGGAAAATATTGAAAAGTTTGCAGTTATTTACCTACATTTCATAATATTTGTACATTTTGAACATAACATCAGAAATTTTTTTTTTAAATAACATTTTTTATAATCTTGAAAAACGATCACAAACAGAAAAAACCCCGCTCGTATCTTATATGGAATTATTCAGAATTGCATTTGAGATAAACCTATACATTTCTTGAGTGGCACTTTTTGTGTAATTTCATGAAAAAGTAGTGATTATGGTGAGAAAAAAATATTTTGACAATTCAGATCTAGCCCTAGATCTAACACTTAAAAATATTGGTTTCTCCATAACAGTGCATTGGCAATATGAGTCCAATCGTATCAATATTATAAAAAAAAGTCCTACATTTCTTTAGTGGGCAAAATAATGATATATTTTTTTGTGTAAAATGACTAAGACTGGTGTCCGGGCTATGATTTTGGCATCGCGATAAAACAAAGTCGAATAAACTACGAAATCGCGTTTCAAAACTGAATCTAAATTTCCGATTTTCAGTGGAAATGCTTGACCCGGAAGTCAACATTATATTATGACCTTTATTTTAACATGGATATGTGGATTGGAATAGAATCTAAGCTAAAATTTAAGATTGGTTCTCGAGCCGCCGGGGGCGGCTTAGCGTACTGACAGCACTTTAGCCGCGCCGGCCCCCCATGGCTCAGCATAGCGAATGAGTTAAAGTACAATGTTCTTGATATTTGTTAGAATTTTTTTTATTACTGTGAACAATCATATTCCATTTGCATTGTAGTCAGAATTCTGATTTAGACACTAAAGTCATGTAATATTTGGAAACTCGAAGTGTCTAACATATCATTTAAAAGATCTAAGGATAATCAGTCAACTTATATTGCAGGACAATCAAATGCATAGTGTGGTGAAAGTACAAGAAAAACAGAAATTTTTACTTGTCACTTTAGCTTTCACGTTTGAAATTGCTTCTTCAGGTTCCAGAACCTGGCCAACTTGTACGAGGGCAGCGGCATCACATTAGCTGAGTGTTCTGTCGAGCCTGCAGGTAAGTACTAGCCTTGTTTTTTCCCATCTAGTCCATTAATTTGATCTGAGAGATGTTTCATAACTAGTGACATGGGAGGCTGCTTTCCATTGATCACTTGGTTGATGGTATCATCATCATCATCATTGCATTATTGCATTTCTCACCCTGGATCGAGGTATAGGCCTTTGACAAACACTTTTCATATTTCCTTATCTTGGGCTAGGTTCATGATATTATTCCATGTCTTTCTACTTTTGTGTACATCATTCTATGTGACTCTAGTCCATGTTCCATGAAGCCTTCCCCTTGATCTTAAACCTAGTGGATTCCAATCCAATTCTTTCTTTGTAATGCAGCTGCATGGTTCTTGAGGATATGCCCAAACCATCATTGATGGTATGCTTCCAATTTAAATATGAATATTTTATATTTAAAAAGTGAATATCAATATTTTAAGATAATAGAAATAGCTATATTTGACGGAGTCATATTTGTTGGATTCTTTTTCTCTCTCATCTTGTAGGAGAACCAGAGGTGCAGACCACCATCAGCCCCGACCAGTGTTCCCTGATGCCTGTTCCCAGTGACATCGAGGACCCTGAGGCAGACGTGTCCGGCGTTCGCTTTGGTGCCTTCCCATACAGCAGACAAGAGTACCGCAAGCTGCCTGTGCGCATCAGGCTCAGGTTAGTGATGATACTTACTTTACTTTATCCGTCCTCTTGTGCCTCCAGGGGATCGAGGGGAGAAAGAGTTCCCTGTCTCTAGCAAGTTTGATGGCCTGGCTGGGTAGTGATGATGAACTGTAAAAATAAACCTTTCTCAGGGCTTTGTGTTCTAAAGACAGTCTTTGTGCTGATTAACTGTGATAAGTGTGAAAATGAAGCTGAAATGATTTCTTGGTTGGTGCGAACGTGGATCATGGATGACTTTGCGACTTTTCTCAAGTTTTTTGTGTCTCTGATGAGATGGGTAGGATCATAGCAAGTCAGGGGAGGGTGCATTCCACTGGCTGCTAGTGTGCTTTGAGCTTATGTGTGAACATCTGTCCGAAGAAAGTCTCAGTTTGTGACTCAACTTGCGCATACTCGCCGGTGGCAGGGATATATCAAACCAAAGGCCAGATTCTTGAGGTTTTTTCATTTACAGTGTGAAGGATTCAGTTAATTACCCCAAAAGCTAAAGTACTGTTTCCTCGCCAGTAAGATAGGTGTTTGCATTAAGAGTATGACTGTTTCAGTACCTCAGATTTTTTGTAAGTTTAAATGGTATGAATTGAGAAAACCAATGACTTTATCATATGGACTTTGCTGTTTCTGTTTTAGGTCAGTGATCATCTCCATCTCCTTCAAGACAACAGCAAAGAATGGTGTGATTTTCTACTCTTCTGACGTCAAACATATCGACTTCATTGGCTTGTACATGCTCAATGGTCAGATTAACTACGGCTTCAACTGTGGGTCAGGATCAGCTCTTATCACCAGCCCAGAGGCCTACAACGATGGCAAATGGCATACTGTGAGTTTTGTTTTTGTCTTTTTATGTAATATAGATTTAAAAGCTTGTAGAGCTTGCTGTTAAGCAGGGGTATACACTATACAAATACTATTTATTATTATTATTGTTATTATTATTATTATTTTTATTATTTTTATTATTATTATTATGGTTAATATGAATATGAATATTATTATTATTATTATTATCATTGTTACCAGTTCCCATCTAAAACTATCTTCCCCTTACCGTCACTGCACCAAAAACAGAAATAATCACTTAGGTTTTGAACTATTTCAGGTGAAATTCTCCCGAAGGCGTCAAGATGGCAGTCTGGAGATTGATGGGGAGAGAGTCGGTATTGGCAGAAGTCCTGGAGGCACACGCTCTTTGAACACTAAACCACCACACTACGTTGGCGGACTGCCGGAAGAGAAGAGAAAGAAGGCCATCAACAACCTAGGGGTAAGCTGCCCTGTTGTTCCCACTAGACTTTTCCATTGAGAATTTAAAAGAAGAAGGAAGGTTTTTAATTCTAGGATTTGCTTAGGTCTTTGGTTCATATGCATGATTTATGAAATGGACTACTCAGCTGTTTTGAGGGGAGTTACAACTGAGGATACTTCCGTTTGCAATTACGCCCTGTGCGGTGAAATTGTATGAAAAAGATATGTAATTTTTTATAATTCTTGGCCTTTGTTTCAATCTTTTTCATTAGGGTATTTTAGACCTTGATGTCAGTGCAATCTTTGTTTGAGACTCAAATTGTATTTTCAAGATTTGGCTTCATGTATGAGCCAATTGTGTGTGGTTAAAAGTTTTTCATAATACCAGAGCAGCAGCAGCCCTGCCCAGAAAACCCTGAAAAGTTTGAACCTGCATAGTTTGTAGCAACAATTATATTGTAGGCCTATTTGCTTCTCTTTAGAATCCAAACAATTTTTTTTCTCTTCTTTTAAAAAAATATAAATTTTTTTTTTCAAAGAGAAAATATGAAACCTGTCAATGAATTAGAGAAATAAAAGGTCTTTGTAGTCTGAACTAAACATATTTTTATATTTTTTGCTGTTGCTTTTTAGAATACGAGATTGTGCTGAAGACAAAGCATTGAACAAGTAAATGACCGTAATTTTCCTCTAACAGGATGGCTACACTGGTTTCATTGGTTGCCTCAAGGACATCACTTTGAACATGCTGCCCATTGGCCGGCCCACCAAAGATGTCAATGTACAGACATGCTCCAGTGATGTGGAAGATGGAACATTTGTCGGCAGTGGTGGAGGCTATGTACAGCTTTGTACGTAAAATGAGTGTCTTCTTCTTCTTTTCCTCTTCCTCTTTGTCCTCCCTTCTTCTTCCTCCCCTCCTCCTCCTGATCCTCCTTGTCCTTTTACCTCCTCCTCATCTTCTTCTTATCTTCCTCCTCCTCCTCCTTCTCTTCCTCCTCCTCTTCTTCTTCTTCTTCTTCTTCTTCTTCTTCTTCTTCTTCTTCTTCTTCTTCTTTTTCTTCTTCTTCTTCTTCTTCTTCTTCTTCTTCTTCTTTTTCTTCTTCTTCTTCTTCTTCATCATCTTTATAAAACTTGCTGTGGGACTGCATTTTTTCTGCCTTTTCTATAGCTTTTTTCTGCTTTGGATTTTCACCTTTTTTCTGTAGATAGGTGTGGTTTATTTTCTTCAAGCAGTAGGTCAATCTATCTGGAGATTTTGCAAGTGCATAACAATGTGAACGAAATGTGTACTGTGTGAAGGAGGAGTGGGGGTGGGAGGGGAAGTTGACATGTATGACAATTTGATATTGCACTTAAGAATGGAGTGAGAATGTAAACTTATACAGAAATAACTACCCTCATAAACCAGTCACCATCAAAATTATCCCTCAAAACATTTTCAGCTATATATGTTCTGCCCTTGTCACTCTACAAATATGGCAAGGCCCGTAATGTACTAAACATGTGACTTTATATTGTTATCATTTTTTTAATGTCTTTTTTTTATTTATTATAAAAAATCATTATTTTGTTGTAGCTATTATTATAATTACTTTAATTGTTATTATTATTATTATTATTATCATTGACAGATGATAAGTTCAAGGTTGGCAGAGACCTCGAGATCTCTATGGACATCAAACCACGTTCACAGGAAGGCATCTTGTTGGGTGTCCATGGCAACAGGAGTGATTTCCTTCTGTTGCAGATGTCTAATGGAGAGGTGAGGACATTTGTATTGTATTTTACATCTGTAATGTCCGCCTGTTTGTTCACATTATCAAACAACTTTGTGATATCTATTAAAACTTATGCTCTACCTGCCTCATATAATTATTTTGTCTTGTTTAAACAATTGAGCATTTTGGATGACTTCTTTTGAACTTTGAAGTAATTTTATTTCTTGACCTTGTTCTCTTTATTTAGATCATCTTCACAGTGGACAATGGAGCAGGGCCAATTACGATTCGCTACACTCCTCAAACAAGAAATACTCTATGCGATGGAAGATGGCACAATATTAGAGGTTTGTACACGACTGTTAATTACTAGCTAGTTCTACTACTGAAGCATCCTAACATCCCTATGACAAGAAAACTCAAAATGATAAACACCATATTCATCCCAACACTCACCTATCAATGCCAAACATGGACCACGAACAAAACACTGGAGGAAAGAATTATAAAATGTGAAATGCAATGTCTTAGAAAAGAAGTAAACAAGACCAGGCGAGACAAAATTAAAAACTCAGTAGTCAGAGAAATGGTGGGCCGAAATGATGTCATGCATCACATTCAACACCAAAGAATCAAATGGTTCGGACATCTCATGTGATTACCAACACACCATCTAGCACAATGCGCCTACATAAAAAAATTCAATGGCAACAAGGCTAGAGGGTGACCGAGAAAGACCTGGATAGATGGAGTCAAGGAAACACTAACAACTCATGGCATCCCCGTGACCCAAGCTCTCCGGCTGAGAGACGTCTCTTTCTTTCCGCGACACCCAAAAGGGTATAAGCGGCGGATAAAAGTAAAGTACACAACTTTTTTCCTATCAACTCAAAAACGATTCATGAAGTTCCTTTAAACCTTATGGACAATTGATAAAAGAGTGTGTGGACACTAAAGTGCTGAAAAAGAATATGTATACTCAATAAGTGAAAGAATATGTGAACGCACAATTAATGTGACTTTGCAAAGTATATGACATCTCAAACAGTGTTCCACTTGTCAGTTCTTTGATTGCTTAAAAAATTTTCTTGGCCTATGTTCAGATGTACGGGAGTTCAGAGGGTGCTGCTGGTAGCTCCTTCTTCTGTTCTCTCCCTCTATTGTTATTGTTTGTCTTTCTTCATTTTCACCAGAACATAATGGCCGTTATTGTGGTGATGTGCTTCTCTTTACTCAAACAAACATCTTCATAAGTGCCAATTTAAAAAACATAAATTGTTATATCTGGAATAGCATGTTTCAAGTCTGACTTTATCATTATTTCAAAACTAGCAGGGCCCCCTTTCGATGAAAGGAATGATCGGTGCATTAACATCAACTGAAAGTCATTACTTACTTACTACCCATTACGCCATCTGGCGTTTAGGGCAACAACAAAGGATCTCTTGCTCTGTCTGTTTTGGGCCATATTGGTCAGCGTTCCCCACGAATGATTCCAGGACTTCATTTCAGACTCAACTCTCCATTTCCAGGTCACTTTGGTCTGCCCCTTTTGCGACGTCCTTCGGGTGTCCAATGGAGGGGGCAGTCTTCACAATAGAGTCTGGTTCTCTTCTCAGAACATGTCCATGAAAGTCATTGGCCTACTATATTTACACTCTCCTGGAATGGAGCAATAAATCTTGAGAGATGCAAAAAATTAGAACGTCTAGATTTATGCTCTCAAAACAAAATGTGCCTCACGAAATATTACTTCCGGCACTTCCGCTGTGAAGGACAACTACGCAGATTTTGTTTCGTTTCTCAGTGGAATAATCACAAAGGCCAAAGAAGGACAGGAGCTTTTTGTCAGATATATTTTTTTTCAATTCAGGAAATTAATAAATAAAAAATTGGGCTCCGTCATGGGGACCTATCTATCTTTTTGCAGGTACTTGCCAACTTTCAACTCTGTAGCCGTCGCAGTTTTATGGGAAAAGTGACACATATGTTTCCAAGTTGCCAAATATATAATAGATTCATCATTGTCTTTGTTTTCCTCTCCACAGCCACAAAGACGAGACATATTCTGATGTTAGCCGTTGATGGAATCAATGTTGGTGAGCCTCAGGAGGGTAAGAAGGATGTCTCTGCCGCAGATACCAACGATCCTCTGTACATCGGAGGTGTAGCAGGTAAGAGCTTTTTCCTCTTTTCTTTGTTTTAGTAAGTGTTTTACGGCACTTGCAAAACAATAAGGTCATATAAGTGCCGAAGATTGAAGGTGTTACAAGAGAGTAACAAACACACCAAAAAAAAAAAAAAGTAAAAAAGTGGGAGCTCTCGGGGCCTTGAGGTTAAGGTGTTGGCCTCTCAATCAAAGGTCCCGGGTTCGAATCCGGGTAGCGACCGAAAAATTTTCTTCCTTTCATCTCCTTTCTTGCTTTCTAGCAATGTTCTGTCGTCTGCTTTCTTCTCCTCTTTCTGTCCCACCCCCTCCTCTGGGCTCCTGACTCTTTCTACAGACTTTCTACTGCTATTTTTTGGCTTCTTCTTACTGCTGTCTTTCAGCCACACCCCTGATCTTATGGTAGGAAAGATCTACACCTAGCCTTCTCGGACAAGGGTGAAAAATCTCTGAGGGCCCATGTGAAAGTTGAGCACATCAATGATCCTTTGTAGTCTAAAATCAATAAGAGTAGGCTTCGGCCGCCACCCGCGCAAAATTAAAAATTTCCTACCAATTGAAAATGTTTGGTGTGTCCCACGCGCTCATATGACCATCTGCAGTTGCGAGCGCTGTAAAACACTTACCAAAAAAACAAAAAAAAAAAAAAGGTGAAGAGTTTGAAACAAAGTTTGCAACACTAGTAAGTTCGTGCATACTAAGAAATGTTAACAATGGTTAACTGAATGAGTCAGAGCACAAGTAGTTAAAGTGATTTTTGTCACTTTTTTCATGAAATAAATGGAAACTCATTTTTATTCTATCTTGTGTGGTTGTTTCTGGCTTTAAAAACATCCTGCTCATCACTGCACAAAAAAGAAACTAATTTTTCTTTTATTTCCGCTTTCAGATTTGACCTCCAAGGGCATACTGGCCAATGGAGACTTTGTCGGATGCATTCGCAATGTGAAGCTCAATAATGACATGCAGTACATTGCCACTGGTACACCTACTGGTGACATTCGAATTGACGCTTGCCCTCTAAAATAGATGTCATGTTACAATTATTAAATGCCTTGAAAAAATTCAGCTCTCAGATTTTATGACTTGTAACATTTAGAAACTTGGAATATTTTTACTGCTTCAGTTATTGTTAAGGATTTCTCATACTAGTGAGTTGTGCTGTTCAAAAAGATTTTTAAAAACAGCAAAAAATCAGAATGAAATAACTTCGTCTTGGACCATTTATTTGATATCCTTCTGGCAAAAACAGTGCATGGGATTCTATGAATAAGGCGTGAGCATAATCACTTCTTACAAAGGTCTCTTCCTTTAAATCAGGGTAATGATGTAATCTTTCCTTGAGAGAGCATGAACGTCTTTGTTTTTACAGCTCTTCTAGACCAACAGTATTAATGTGAAATAGCTTTGAATGTTTTTAAAAGATTAACTACTCGTACAACTGTAACCACTTTTTGTATGTGCACCATGGTAAACTATTGTGTAAGTTTACTAGACCATATTGTGTGGGATGCTGTTTCAAATTCTTTAGATAAAACCAAAAATATATAGTTAAGTTTTTTGTTAAGTCAAAGATGAGTGGCTTTTGGGTCTCCTTATTACTAAATTAACAAGTTTTTAAAAATCACTTATTTAGGTTGTCTTATAACTGAAATAGAATTTATAGAATTTTGCTGTAAAAGTAACTACTATTTTTTTTATTGAGTAATGGATTACAACCACTGTCAACAAATTATCAAAAACTTTCTTCCTCAAAAAGAGAGTCTTTTGAACCTGTTACCAAACAAGTAAATATTTAAGAGGAAAAATAAGCTTCTAATACTTTATGACATGCAAGACAGGGTGGTAAATGCTACAGTCCTGAAAAATATTTCCTTTTTCCAATTTATATTGTATCCCTCATCAAAGATATTACCTGTCTACCTCGAACATGATCAAGCATAATAATACATTGTTAGCTAAAATTCAGCTGTTTTCATAAAATTATTTTAAAGTCAGGTGGTGCAGAAACATTAGAGCATTTTTAGACTATTTCAGAGAACCCAGTAACTTGTCCAGATAAATTCAATATTTCAAAAGGCAGTTGACAACTTGTGCAATTTTGGGGCCTGATTTCTTTATCTTTAATCTGGACTTAAATGACAATGACTTCTGCTTTAATGTGCAATTAATCCTTTTCTAGTCACCTTATTCTAATGGGATCAAATAACATGCTCGGGAACATTGAAAAGTGGAGATGTGAGTGCCAATAAAATTTTAATACCCAAAAATATGTAACATCTTATTGACTGAATTAAGCCCATCACTTCAGAGGAGAGTGAATGATGATTGTTTATGTAAGTCTCTGAAGATGTGCGGAAAGAAATTGAACTTCTCATCAGGAATATATAGTTTGTCTTTCTTTTTATGAGAAAATGGTGTATCAATAATTAATAACCGAGCTTAGCCCCAACCTCTCTCCTCAACCCCCATTTCCCATTTTCCTCTTCCCAACTCTACTTGTCTCCAGCAATGTAGATCTTCCTCTGCTTTTGAATCATTGCTGGCTTCTTCTTATACATTATCATTGTCATGGCTTTGGTCTGTTGTTTCACATAATAGCTGAAAATTTTAGTGTTTCGAATGGAAAATGTTTTTGTATTGGTAGCAAGTATTTTGGCAGACAGCTGAAAGGAACACCTGGGAAACTTCAATTCTACTTGTGATTTTTTTTGTTAAATCAGATTTGGTCAGTTGACCTTTGTTTTCACGCTCGGTTAACTTTTCAATATTTTTCAACACAACATATGCTTAAATTAAAATTTTTAAAAATAAAATCTAATTAAAACTTTTAATTGAGGACAGGAATTATTCCCCCCGATCCTTTGAATGACTTAAATATTAATCTTTCATTTTTTGTAGAAAAGCTGAATGTTATTGTTACCTTAGTCAGTATATACTACACAATATAGATGCCAGCCTCTATTAAAAATACATCTACTTACACACTTGTGAAAAAGCAGAAAGAAGTCATGACAATATTTTCGATATATCTCAGAGTTAATGAGTACTACCTTCATAGATCCTGGTAAAGTTTGTACCACATTATTATGAAAATTTGTCTTATCAACATAAATAGGGATATAATAACTATTCTTTATTTATCACACGTAAGAGTTAGTAAACATTTAGTTTTGTTTGTACACCCTTAAATTGGGTACAAAAATGGTCAAATTCCACTGCATCATGCACTCTTACAGGCAAATAAGTTGTCTATTGTATTACTAGAAAAGGGGGAAAGAACACTCATGGTTTTATTGTCACGTTTGAGAATATGTTCTTAAATAAATTAAATGGTTTTGAATGTTTGTTTTCATGCGGGTAAAGGAAGAGATGCTGTCAGTGGATAGAGCCAGCGAAAGTAGGTTTTCTCTTTTATTTATTGCTCAGTGTTTATGTACTAAAAATTCTTGTTTGTTGCTGAAATGTGCCTTAAAAGTTTTCACAAAAGATCATGCTTGTGTCTTCTACACCATCTTGCCAAATGTTGATACAATGGACCAATCACCTTCAACATAATAGCCCGCTGTACATGAATATTGACAATAAATGCTTCAGCTTTAAGTAAGCCCTGTCCTTGTGTGATTTCTGTTCTAAGAGTTAATATGGATCAGTAAATAAGGAGTAACAAAGAAAAGCAGAAAAAGACTGCCATAAACCAAGACTTTTTTCTTCAAGAACATATGTGTCACGACGCGCTGGAATCGGGCGTTCATCAACTTTTGCACATGAGATATATGGAGTTATTGGCGGTCTTGAAACTTGTTCATTTGACTCGTTTTTACTGAAAAAGAGTAGCTATCTATCTTCAATAGAAGTCGAGATATTTGATATTGAAAGAAGTGGAGGTCATTAGGTGTCAGAGGTAAAATTAGCAAGAAAGTGGCCAACAAAGTTTGGCGACTTCCAAAGCTTGAGTGTCCTTTGAAACTGCAAATTAACAATTTTTGTACTTTGGATCAACATTTTTTTAAAGGAAAATCCAAACAGAATTGTGTTTTTAAATGGATATAAAAAGTATTACATGATAAAAAATGGCCCAATGAGCAGAAAAATGACAGTTTCTTTGATTGCATTATTTGGACAGGTGCCCGATTTCACCATGATAACACATTTAAGATGATGATGAAATTTAAAAATTCTACAGTCTCCACTAGTTTTTTGCCTTTTTTTAATCTTCGAGCTGTCAACAATGATGATGATGATACAAAATTAAAGACTCGGTAGAAAGTTCTGTAAAATATAAAAAGGAAGCAAACAAAATGTGATGACATTTTTTGAAGAGGTGTCTCCAGTATTTACTGTAATCAGAAATCACCTATCATGGGAGTATGGTTACCATAACGTTAAGCCCCATTTTAAAATTAGCTTCTTTTTGCACCATTCTTCAGACAATGTATAATATTGAATATACGGTCAAACCTGCCCTGACGGCAACCTCTATAAGACGGCCACCTGTACAAACGGCCACTTTCCATTTCCCCCCTTGTGTTTTTTCTATATAATTTAACTATGTAAAACGGGCACCTGTCCAACGCGGCCGCGGCCACCACAATTTAACACACAACCCCTATCACACTAAACAATAACACCAGTCTTAGACGGCCATCTTAGTGACTCCATTACGTTTTGTCATAAATTCTGCATTGGCCCCTGGCGTTGTGGGCGAGCCATCATAATTCAATCACCTGTCGTTGTTGTTAGGTAGTCCCTCCAACCGATCATGTTGCGTAGGCCCCTCCCGCTGTTGACCAACAGCTACCAATTTTCAGCTGCTGGTGAGGTTAGCGTGTGATCCCCCATAACCCATAAGCCCCGCCCAGAACTCATACACAAATCGTAAGTGAGATGAGTGGTCACTGTTTACCAGTCTGTAACAAAGTAACAAAGGACGTCAACATGAACTTGTTACAGAAGAGTCCCTCGTTCTCCGAGTGGTGGCGACCCATGTGTTTGTTTTAACATGGCAGTCCTTGTCTGATACATTTCGTTTTATTGTCACCCTTGTGCAAAATCAGCAACAAAATAAATATTACAAACGAAATACAAACCACCACCACCAACAACTACAACAACAACAACAACAACAAAGACAACAACAATGGGGCTACTTTTGATGGGGGCCTCAGACGGGAATGGTTTGTTTTCTTCATCTTGATCAGTCCTGCCTAAGACGGCCACCTGTTTTATACGGCCACTTTTCTCCTTGACAATGGCTGGCCATCTTACACAGGTTTGACTGTATATAATTGTCACACTTGGATTTCAAAACTTCCTTCCCATTCAATATTTTTATATCTTGGATCACATATTGAAATATGCTGCAAACCTAATAGCTTATTGAGACCTCAGTGCTTTCTTGTCATATCTCCATCTTTTAAAATAACATTGAAAATGTGACTTATTCATAAGCTCACTCTTTGTTATGAACTGTTTTCACTGTTATTAAAAATGGAGATACGACAAGAAAGCACTGAGGTCGCTTTTTGTTCCCAGAGATTAAAGCTTTACATTTAACAAAATGACAAAGATGAGAAATAACACAAGTCAGCTTTATGACCACATCATTTTATTAGGCTTCGCCTTACATGTTGGGAGAACATGATGAACATGACAGAATATAAAAATGTTCAAGATTTAAAATATATTTTACAAACAGAACATTTTTGTTTTATTAGTGTTAAAAAAATTGTGTGTAAATCAACAAGTCTCAGACCTCATTTACAGCGCCCTTGACTCCAGTACAAGGATTTAACCTTCAAAGAGATATTCTTGTAAGACTACAGTAAATCCATATCAAAAGAAAAAGAAATGTGACCCAAGCTATCAAAACATTTCCCCTTATCTAAATTGCAGAATGAAAATGGTACAATTCACCCTGATTAAACAGAAATTTACAGTGCCTCTAATGTAAATAATATGCCCTACCTGGTATCTAACAATGGAAAAAGTTTCGAACTCGACTCAAGAGTCGCAGCGCATTGCTTGCATAATCAAGGAAGTGATCACTCAATATAAAAGCAGTAATCACAGTCATCACAATGCACCTGAACAAATTTCATACAAAACTGGTTTTATTTCCGGGGTGACTAAAATGTAGATATGGAGAGTGACATAAAGTTTATTAGATGGGGTTACACCATTCTCTCCGGTATGGTGGTGGTTTTAGGGAACACCTGACTCTTGTACTCCGAGTTGGCATAAATGCCACTTTCGTCCTGCCACGTGTTCCATCCATTCCTGCGGTAATCGGTGGTGTCTGTGAACTGGGATTTCATCTTCCTGTACGCGGTAGACTTGTCGTCAGGATCAAAGCCGGGTGGAAGAGATGCCTGTGAGTTCATAACATACGAACCAAATATATTAGACATGTATGCCCCATTTTGATTTTCAGCAGGATGTGGTGCGTGATACGAATTACTAGCTAAATCTTCCAGGCATAATTATTGACTGTAAAGTTGAAGAAAATGTCTGATTTTTATAATAAGTTTGAAACCCAATAAAACACCTTAATTCCACTGCACAATTAATATTTCAACTTATCTGCCAGTCCATAAAGGCAGATTGAAGTTATGTGTTGCAGAGAGAAACCTTCCTCACAAACATGAGTGAAGCCAATTGCTCACATAGATAGGTGTAGCTACAAAAGATGGACAGGATGATAGAAATACATAATTGCTTAGCCAAGTTCCTGACTTCATTCACGCTGAGGTGAAGAGTGATAAAAGTAAACTACAGTAAGTGTGTGATTCAAGTATGTTATAGGTACATTAAAAGCAACCAAAGGTTTGAAAATCCACCAAAATTCTATTGATGAGAATACTGAAAGAGACCATTCAAAAATCAAAAAATTTAAAATTGTACATGAATACTGTCACGTAAAGAGAGTTAAATACGGTAGATAAATTTAGTCAAGATTGTATTTCCCTGCAGCTAAATGACCGAGTAGATTACCTTTGCAGGTGACTGCTCAAATCATTCCACCTATAAAGTCATTTCTATCCTTGCTTGGGTAGTTATAATTGCATTTGACATTTTCAGTAATTTACCCACAACCTTGAACATTTTTCAACAAAAACCCATGCATCATCAATCTGACTCAAAAATATTATTATGTCTGAGCTATATTATGTCTGAGCTAAGTTAACCATTCTATCCTCATCAATAGTTTTATTTATGAGATCAATTACACACAGCATAGATTTACCTTCCTCTGAGCTTCCTCTTCCTCTTTAGATGTGTAGGGGAATGGAGGAATATAATCCGCATTGTATGTCGTATCTAGGTGAAACTTCTTGTGATCTTTGTTGTGGAAAGGGAGTACTGATCCATATGCATCCTTTGGATCACCTGTGTTTCTGATTTAAAAATTGATCAATATTGAGAGCAGAAAATATAATTGAACACACTAGCTGATCCTTTATTCTATTTGCCACTGTTGCTGAAGTCAATATTATTCTTTTACCTCACAAATAAAGATGTTCCAAATATTAATTTTACTTTTTCTTTAGGATTCTACCTTCAATCAAGGCAGTTGGTCTGCTGATTTAAAAAATTATTATAAGAATTGGCATTTTAAATTTGAAAAACATGTGCTGTAATTGAAAGACAAAATTAAAGCTTGGATAAGCTTCTGAAGATTCAATAAATTTTTTTTAAATTTAAAAATAGAACAGTGCTATTTCATTCCATATTTTGGGTACTGGGCCTTATAAACAAACAAATTGAAACCTTTATCAAACTGGATTAACTTTTAACTTGTTGCTAATCTTAAATACGCTTGAGTTTGGAACATGATATCAAATATCACCAGAAAGGTTGTACAAAAGTCAAAATTATCATGTATGACGTATTGTCCTTCCATACTACGAGTATACCTGTCTATCCCAGCATTTGCTGTGGCCAGGGTCTCCATCTGGACCATTCCTCTGTGGCTGTCTCTGTCTTCATACATAGGTTTCAAAAACACTTGGTTTGCTTGCTCTTGATATGTAGTATCAGGGAGAGACTGGGGAAAGAGGTACAAAAATCATTCTGATGTGCCAAAAGAATTTCAAGCATAGTAAGCAATTGGATTTTGAACACAGGGGAAAAAATATATAAAAAGTTTGCCTAAACCGTTTTGAAGTTGATGAAATGCTAAAATTTGACCACCACCAATGTTATAGAATTTGATGTGTACCCAATATCCTGGTGCATATTGTGACAACTCACGTCCAACTCAATTCTCATTACAGTATATTTTAGGCTACTCATTTCACCATAAGACAGACTAACAGTCATTGTTGAGTGAAACTGCACAACATTTCACACAAAGGCATTTCCACAGCAACAAAAATATTTTCCTGTACCAAGATATATTATTGGTAAGAATTTTTTTTTTAAACATCAGTATCTCTATTCAAATATCATATATTAAATGACTCTTTGGCACTTTCTTAAATGTAATGTAATAACTGAAGTGTAGGCCTATTATGTAAATCTAAGCCATGTCAAGAATAAATCACAAGGCCTTTGTCTACTTGGCGTTAACAAAACTAGACATGCATAATATGACATCCTCAATCATCTATATTTTTTTCTCTCTACATGCATCCTCTCTCAGCACATTACTGAATGCAAGTGAGACCTGGAAACAGCACATTTGTAGAGAGAGAGACTGCTAAACAGCTTTCGCATATCTGATATCTTATACCATAGAAAGATTCTTGGTACAACAAGGCAAGGCTAGAATATCAACACAGGGGTTCAGTATTTTCATTGCCTATACAAATCAGACTGAGATGGCTTTTAAACCTTCAGCATATCAAAGAAAATTAAGGATACCAGGACCAAAAAATTATATGCAGAGCTAGAGAGAATGGATAGAGATAAAAAATTACTTTAACTAGAATATAAAGATCTCTGTCAGAGATACATGACATAAAGAAAGATCTGCTTTTGAGTCATTGAATAGGTGGCAGAACATCAAGGCAAGGGAAGAGAGAAGTCAGGACCGGTCTCAAGAGAGAAGGAAGGGGATAAAGATGGCTGCAAACAAAGGCACAAATATGCAGCAGCTAAGGAAAAACAAAATAAGAATGCAGAACATTTTCATTACATTCACTATAACCTACAAGTTTTCTGGCACACTTGGCCTAAATTAGCAAACACATCACATGCGATTAAAGGGTAAATCCTTACAGCATAATCCCAGTTGTCCTTTGTCATAGAATATTGGTCATTGAAAAGGTTTAACGTCCCTTTCAACACTGTAAGGTTAGTTGAGTGGCGGGATCTCCAAATTCAACACACATTTCCAATAATATGACCAAGCAATATCAGTAGAAAGTCTAAGAAAGCCACTCTCCAAAACTACTCAAATTCAGAACACCATGGTGGATATTCAAATGAGTGGTCCAGCATGATACCAGTTGAGCTAATGATGCACACACAGTAGAACAGTGTCAACTCTATCCAACAAACTATGATGTAAACAGGTCTACGCGCTCATGACAGGCATGCCGTTAGTTTAGGTGGTATCATGCCAGACTAACAAGCAGATGGCCCTGCTTCGAATTCCCAACTGGTTGTTCTGAACTTGACTTGCTTTGGGGGGCTTTTGAGGCTCTCCCCCCCATTTGGCTTTGTTCTATCGAAGATGGACATTAAATTCGAAGATCCCACATCTTAAATAATTTAACAGTGTTGAAAAGGGCCTTAAACCAATATTCCCCCCCCCCCAATCCATGATAAACTCAAATTTGGATACCACTAGAAAAAATATACACAGTACAGATATCTTAAGAGGGGCATGGCAGAGGGCTTAAGCTCCTAATTACAGGGAAATAAAAGTCAGGAGAAAGAATAATCCAGGATGATAAAGATAAAATCTGCTTTACCCCATCAGTGACATTGCCGATTCTATTGTATGTGGAGTAGGTCATTGTCCGGATGGGATCCTTGTTGATATCATAATCCTTTGGTTCAGCTTGACGTGCTTGATGCCTTCAATGTTGAACAAAGACAGAAAAATCAACACAGACTTAAGTCACATTTCAATTCGTCAACAATACCTAGAGCAAAGTAATAAAATGGTTCAAGAACTGTTTTAATTTTAATGGTGCTGTCAATTGTTGATGAACCATGACTTTAAAATCTTAACAATATGACCGTAAAACTTTAACTAAAATAAAATCTTAACAAATTAAAGTGAATACCACTAGCCAGTATGAAGTGACATCTTCATAATCACTGAAACTAATTGGAGATCCACCATACGGAGACAATGTTGAATCTCATCATTTGTACAGTACCACTATCCGCATACCAGAGTAATATTCACAAGTCCGTCTCTATTCCCTACCTGATTCAAAGCACCAAGATCCGCCCCAAGCAAACGTGTGAAGCTCCTAAATTGGAGCTTAAACAGCCTATCATTCCGCAAAGGCTTATTTTGGGTGTTACAGCACATTATGACGCAGAACAAACTAACAGTGATTTACCTTCAGGACAAGACTCTGATCTGCAATACGTCTCTCTGTAGCCTATAAGTTTACCCCCCCACCACCACACACAAACACTTTATAATACATAGGCCTACATACATTAACACCACCCAAAGCAGATCTTGATTCCTAAATTGCCCCTTGATCAACAGAGAAAATAGAAGGAAATCTCTTCCAAAAGCTAATTTATACCAGGTATGTCTTCCTTGTACAGTTAGATCTAGCTTTATGCTGGTTACCTTACACTATACCAGAAGTTCGGCAACCTCATCTTTAAACCATGACCCAACAGTACCCTAGCTGCATATAAATCGAGATCTATGTTGTGACGAAGGGCTTGCAATTCATTTTTTTTTATTATTAAGAAAGATCCCAATATAATGTGGGGCCCTAAAAGGATTTGACAATACAGAAAACTGAAATTCGGATATCAATCATTTAAGAATTAAAGGAATTAGACGAATTTCATCCCCCCATTGTTAGCGAATTTCTGTTTTTGTCACAGAAAAAGTTACAATTTAAGATGCTTTACATCCCCACCCTGTTCCTACTGCCTTGTAGGTGCATAAGGGAGTATGAAAGGCTAAAGGAGTAAACCCTAAACAAATCCGGAGGGAGGGCCCCAAAGGCAATCGACAGGGAAGAATGATCCGAACTATTTTCATGCAGCCCCTGCAACTCTACTGGTTCCAAATGTATTGACCTCGTCGCACCTTTGGACTAAATCAGCAAAGTCAAGAAGGGGTTCGTGAAAATTTGGCAAGGCACGTTCTCCTTACAGTCAGGCCCAGGCATTTAGCTTAGTCAAGATTTCAATATTTCTGGCTGCAAAAAAGCAAATACAGCGGATCAGACCCACAGCTCAACCACAGCTACAACAGCATTTATATGAGTAAGGAGAGGACACTTCATCCTCATTGTGATGAGCAAGGGAAAAAACACGGGAGGTGGCAGTGTACAGGTTGTAAGAAATCCTTATTTGGCGAAACAGGATGTCGCCACGGGTCACCTCTGATGATGGGAGTGACTATTCAGTCACACTGATCAGCTACCGCCCGTCTCAAACTGAGCAGCCTCCAGTCAGTAAGGTGCTGATCCGCCACATCTGTTAGCTTCTATGGGTGTATGGAGCTAGGACAAAAACCAAAAGGCAGACGTTAAATCCGGCACCAGGCAAAAAAAAGAGTAAAACTAACCCCATGGAAACTGGAGACCTGGAATATTAGAACAATGACAACCGGATTGGACACTACCAACCTGGAGAAAACAGAGGACATCAGAAAGACAGCAATCATAGACAGGGAGCCCACGCGACTCAATGTAGACATCGCTGCCCTGCAAGAGACAAGACTTGCGAACTCTGGTACCATCATTCTTCTGGAAGGGTCTTGTGGAAGACAAGAGGAGAATCCATGGTGTGGGCTTTGCAGTACACAACAGATTGTTGAACAGGATCAGCACCCCCCAAGGTATATCCGAACAAACCACTGTCATGGAAATGGAAACCAAAACTGGAAGGGTTCACTTAATCAGCGCTTATGCCCCAACTCTAACAACAGAAAATGAGAAAAAATAAATGTTTTACGAGGAACTTCAGGATGCAATCAACAACGTCCCAAAAGCAGACCACCTGTTTCTCATGGGCGACTTCAATGCAAGAGTAGGTTCACAAAACAAAGTATGGCCCACCTGCCTTGGACCTTTAAAGCTGGGAAAAATGAACGAGAATGGTCAGAGACTCTTAAAATTCTACACAAATAACAACCTTTGCATTACTAACACCTTCTACAGCGGCAAGGACAGGCACAAGGTTTCTTAGAGCCATCCAAGGTCAGACCATTGGCACCAAATCGACTTCATCATCGTCAGAAAGAAAGATCCCAACATGGTAAAGCAAACAAGATCCTTCTACAGTGCAGACTGCAACACAGACCACCTTTTAGTTATAGCTAAGGCAAAGATAGTCACAAAGAAAACACCAAGAGCTGAAAAACAAAAGAAACCTAAGATCAACATAAGAAATACCAAAGACCCAGTGTTAAAGGCAAAATTTCATGAACATGTTAAAGAAGAGCTCCAACATCTAGATAGCTCATCCCCAGACAACATGTGGAATAGCATGAGATCAACAATTTATAATTCTGTGTCAGTCACCTTTGGAATAGAAAGAGGACTGGGTTGAAGCCAGTGCATCAACACTCGCACCACTACTCGAGAAAAAGCATAAGATCTTGATAGAACACAACAAAAATCCAACAGAAAGTACAAAGCAACAACTACGTGCTGCTAAATCCAACCTTCAAAGAGAAACCAGAAAGTGCGCCCATCAATACTGGGACAAATTATGCTCAGAAATCTAAAAGGCTAGCGATACAGGTAACATCAAGAAAATGTATGAAAACATCAGAGTTGCTATTGGACCAACGGCAAACAAAGTGGCACCTCTAAAGTCTGCAACAGGTGAACAGCTGACAGACAAAAAGAAACAAATGGAAAGATGGGTGGAACATTAATCAGACTTATACTCAGAGGAGCAACATGTTGATAGACAGCTACATGAGGCCATTCCTCAGCTCTCCGAAATGTCAGAACTTGATACAACACCAATAGAAGAAAAACTCTCTTCTGCAATCGATGAATTCGCTTGCGGAAAAGTAGCAGGAAATGACAACATACCTGCTGAAGTGCTGCAAGAGAACAAAGAGACCCTCCTCCTATACCTCTACAAGCTACTAACGACTTGCTGGCTGAAAGCAGAAATTCCACATGACATGGGAGATGCCAAAATCACCACACTCTACAAAAACAAAGGGGACAAAGGAGATTGCAACAACTACAGAGGTATCTCACTGCTAAGCATCACTGGAAAAGCTTTCGCTTGGATCATCCTGATTTAAGCAACTTCCCAAACTAGCAGAAAGAGTCCTACCAGAGAGCCAATGCAGTTTCAGATCAAACCGCACAACAATGGACATGATCTTTTCTCTTCGTCAGCTACAAGAAAAATGCAGGGAGCAACAACTGCCATTACATACTGCGTTCGTCGATCTGACAAAAGCTTTTGATACAGTCAGTAGACCAGGACTGTACATGGTGTTTAGAAAAATTGGCGGTCCCCCAATACTGCTACAGTTCATCATCTCATTCCATGAAGATATGAAGGCCACCTTTCAGTTTAAATTGACGGTTCAACATCAAACAGCTTCAACATCAATAGCGGAGTAAAGCAAGGTTGTGTCTTAGCACCAACCCTTTTTAGCACTTATTTTGCTGTCTTACGGCAATACGCATTCAAAGAGTCACCAGGGGGATGTCTTCCTCCACTGGAGAACTGATGGGTCGCTCTTCAATCTTGCTTGACTGGGTTTTTTTAGACCATCTTAAGCTAAATTGACCGTCTGCATAGACGAAAAGAGCCATACACACATCGGTGCTTTTTCGGTAGTTCCTACCCCCCTGTAAAGTTTCCTGGCGGTCCGATGAGTCGGGTCTGTCAGGGGGCCCCCGTCCAAGATAAGTGTTGCCTCGTCGTAGTCCTGAGTTCGACTGAATACCTCAGTGAGTCTTTCAGACTCTCTATTTCGCGCCGGACTCTTGATGTCATACAAGGGCGTGCCACTCCCCTAATTATCTTGTTCCCACAGTAAAGATAAGAGTCATGTCCCTTGACATCACACCCCCCTTATTTGAGCCTAAATCTACATCTAATCTAGATCTAGATCTATTCGTTTGATGCAAAACCCCCACCATATTTTTATTAGGTCAGGGGGGCTTCCCCCTTGAAACCCCCCTGCTCTTGGAGCTAAAACCGACCAAAATAGCTGGGAGGGAACTACGGAAAAAGCGCCCACACATCCCCACCCCCACTCCACACATTTTTCTGTTTTATCATTTATAATAATGTGACAGATCCAATCCCTTCTCATCCCATTTCTTTAAATGTGATCTTGTAGTTCCGTTTGTTAAAGTCCATGATCCATTTGTTTACATCCAGAGAAGAAATCCAGAAGTCTTGAAGACCAAATACTATTTGAATTTGAATTACGCTTCACAAAGTTGAAAGAGCAGGGATGCAACCTAACTGCAAAACATCAAATTAGGATCAAATTCAGGGGGGGGGGGGGATGCCCCCCCCCCCCCCCCCTTACTCTTGACTTTAACGAACGGAACTACAAAATCGCCCGTCTTTTGTTGTTAAGACAAGACTTACCAATGAGAATTCAAGATTGCACGAGAGTAATTCATATGATCTGATCTCAGTGTAAGAGAGCCTTTTCTGTCGTCTGTAATGGCGTTTCCCATTATATCTGATTCGTGGAGAGCCATGATGAAAACTTTGCATCAATTTAATTTAGATCTACTTGAAAATATCTCGAAGCTGAGGCTGAGGCAGGCAACTGTTTGCTTACATTGACAGCGGAAGTGAACCGCGTTACATTTCGTCATTGCGCAAATGCCCAAATAGTTCTCGTATACTGTTTTTAACATTAGAAAGATGAAACAAAACCTTTCAAATTGCAAAACACAGCTGCTATCTCTAAATAAATATTGTATTTCAACTATTGGACGTCTTATTTGTATTCAAAACAAACACGGTCGTGGATCAATATATTCATTCGCAAAACATAGCAACAACTTTTACACATTATAAATAATAATGTATCTCTTCTTCCAGATGGCTCGTTGGTCTAGGGGTATGATTCTCGCTTTGGGTGCGAGAGGTCCCGGGTTCAAATCCCGGACGAGCCCTACTTTTTACTTTTTAAAAAAAATCTAAATTTCAAGTTTTCGTTACAACCCTGTTTAAAGAACGACAAACGAATAAGCCAACGTGTGCTCTTTTCCCAAATGCACCTGATTTTTAATTCCCTTTTCCCTTTTTTTTTTCTTCAACATCAAAAGACGGTAAGAGTAGGCCAAAATTTCTGCAATGCAGTAACTTAATGTAGTACATTACAGTAGTCTACAGAACATTTCAGCTGATGTTCTGTCACTTGTGGAATAGAGAGGACATAGGGGTGTTCTATCTCCTCAATAGCCTACATGATGTATTACTATTTAGTCTTATTCCATTAAAATGCAAGATGCTAATGATGAAATGAGACTAGACGTAACTTGAAACCACTCTGTACACTTTTGCGTAACCAGAATAAATCATAAGGTTGATTCTTGTTGTTTAGTAAACACAACGCCTCTGCAAACTACAAGTAGCCTTCTCATAATTCTGTTAAATATTGAGGTCTAAAACTATAAGTTCACTTCATGTAAAATAAAATGTTTTGCAAATAATGCTCTAAGTTTTGAAATACAAGTACAATGTAAACATATGGGCAGCCAAAATATGCTCAGCGGTGATCTTCATTTTCATGCACGTGTAGGCCTACGTAAATATGTCTAGTATTTTCTTGTTCCATTATATGCATTCAGGATAACTGCCAAACAATAAAAAACGAAAATAATGCTTGAATTAACCTTTCACCCGAGTAGATGTATTCAACACAGAAGAAAAGTGATGCTAACAAGTTTTTATATTATTATGATTACTGATACATTTTTACCTAGCAGTTCATTTTTTATAAACTGTAACCATTATTCAACATAATAAAAAATAACATGATATCTAAATTTTGAGAAAGTACAAATCAAGTTTGTTGTAGAGTTAGATGAGGTTTCAACGGCTGGTCCTTGTTTCATGTCCTCCTTTTAAAAACTAGAAAATGGATTTTAATTAATTTAACAAATTTTGAATAAATAAAGAAAATAATATACTGAACCAGAGAAAACACCTTTTTTTTTTTTGCTTCTTCAGAAAACCTCAGTCTAATTTTGACAAACGACAACGATGAAATGAAGGGCAAAACTACAATTTACAAACAATTATTTATTATGCATGTTGGTGCCTTGAGAAAAAGTTTCTTAAAACATCTTGAGTCAGAAAAAGCCCAGTGGGCTTCCCATTATATTCCATCACAAAGTGTATATTAATTTGGAGTACTTGAAAAGCTAATTTTTACTACGTTTTAACCCTATCTGTACGCCTGGGGTCATTTTGTACCCCAAGGGTTGTCTTCTTCACATTTTAGAATACTTCCAGTGTGAAGATCTCTTTGAAACTTTCAGTATTTCTCAAAAAATTGTTTTGTCAGACTGCTATGCAAAGCATACGGATCGGATTAACGAGTAAATTTCCTCGTTGGAAAGAGGGGGCACAGAGTTCTCCACATCGTATGGATATGATAGTAAAACATGACGTACGGATAGGGTTAATGAGTTGAAATGGGTGTTAAAACGCAGACTTAAAATTTTTTAAAACTATGTGTACCATGTGTGTATTAGTACCTGTGTATATAGGTCATGGCCATTCAAGACCTTGGTAATAGAATAGGTTTAATGCCGTTTCACATTGAAGTTATTAAAAAATGTAAAAGACAAGACCTTCGAATTAAACGTCCATCTCCAACAGGGCTGAGTCAAAAGGGTAGAAAGCCTTACAAACTACCCAAAACAACCCAAGTTCAGAACACCCCTCTGGGAATTCAAACCGCAGCCATCCTCTATGGTCCAGCAGTAGACCAACGTAGCTAACAGTGCACCCTGCAGGAAGAGCGATAAAACATTCTCATACCACTATTTCTCGCTCTACAGTACATTTCTTACACATAAACTATATCTTAACATCACACTAGCTATCAATACAACTTATAGATTCACAAAGCTACAAAGCCCTTTTCATCCCTCGAATGATTTACATAAATCAATAAAGTGAATAACAGTTAATATATTGCCTGACAAATGAAAAATTCAGCTTTCAATTAGGTTTTTTTTTCTTTTTTTCTTTAAAAAAAATATGATAATATGCGGAATTAGTAAACTATCAAAGCAACTAAAAAGCAATTGTTTATACTGTAGCATGAAAGATTTATAGAAAATCTTGTTTCAACCCAATACACTTTAAAAAAGAAAGAAAAGAAGAAAAGTAACTTACATTAAAAATTTAGAATTTAATTTCACATCATTCAACAGACAAAGCTAACATGACCATAACAGTCGAACCTTCTACAACGTCCACCTGTGCAAGACAATGACCAGTAAAAATGGCCATTTAATAATAATAATAAATTGTCTTTATATATAGATAACACATTTCTACAAAGAAGTGCACAATGCACAGTACAATTTTTTATAATACAAAGAACATATGCAGCGCACAGCTCCTATAGTAAATCTAATCCTCTTTCTCTCTTTCTCACTCCATGTCTGTCTGTCTGTCTGTCTGTCTGTCTGTCTGTCTGTCTGTCTGTCTGTCTCTCAGTCTCTCTGACTCTGTCTCTGTCTCTGTCTCTGTCTCTGTCTCTGTCTCTCTCTCTCTCTCTCTCTCCAGTACATCCTGGAGTAAAGACAATCCCAGAAAACTTACCCAGACACCCTCGTAGACATTGACGACATCACACATTGATAAATTGTTACAGAACAGCATGAATTTAAGCGATACTGAGAGAACATAATAGAAACTGAGAGAACATAATAATATTTGTATTGGGAACTGTCCACTTCCCCCTTGTATTTTTTGTTCCTGTATATATACTATCTGAGAGGACCATTCGGCTAAGACAATCACTTTTCTTCTCAACAACAATGTGCTATGTACCTTAGAATTACAAAGTTCTACTCGACATTTTTGGCCGTTTTGAGTTACTAAGAACATGAGGTCAAAAATCAAATGTTCTGTTTGCTCTATCAAATAATCGCATGACAATTTGGAGTCGTTATCAAGATATTTAAAAAATATTCAAAGAATTGCATTCGAAAAAGCTTGACATGTAGTGAAACTCAAAATTTTTAAAGTTTAATTTCTCAAAATAAGGTATGGTACTGAGCAGACAGAACTTTGCAGTTCTAGGGTGGCAAATGGGTGGTCGCCTCTCTCTCTCTCTCTCTCTCTCTCTCCCTCTCCCTCTCTATCTCTCTCTATCTCTCCATCTCTCTCTCTTGCTATGTATGCATTACATTTCATAATAAGAAAACTGCTTTTGTAGGCAACAGCAAGACTTTGTTAAACATCTCTCCTCACTCTCTCTCTCTACCAGTCTGTCTGTCTGTCTGTCCATCTGTAAGTGTTACATTTAAAGTTAAAGTTGCTCATACTCTTACGAATATTTCTTCTCCTCTTCTCCTACATTGTAAAAAACACACACATTTTATAACATAATATTCATTCTCCTCTCATATATCATACACACTATCTCTCTCTCTGTCTTTCTTTGTCCATCATTCTCTCTCTCTCCTCTCTCTCTCTCTCTCTCTCTCTCTCCCTCTCTCCCTCTCTCACACGCGCACACACACATTCACACATACACACATAAAATATATACAAACACAGACACTCCGCCAAAGAGTAGATTGTTGTTCCCTATTGCACAAATTGAGACACGTTTGATTTTATCCAGCTCTCTAATTAAAAGTCTTTACCTTACAGTCAAAGTAAAGCGTCATTATACCGCCTACCTTGGGAAGAGCATGAAGTTGGCGGTAAAGCCGGGCTGGCAGTATAATGGGATAGCACCAATTGCCAGCTTGACTAGTGGTAGAGACTAGAGACAAATTGCGGTCAGTCTTGATTCATCTAGACCAGCTGTGCGCGATTGCCATGGACAGGGAAAAAAAAGTAGCAACCAATTACATGTACAGCTCCAGCTGAACTTTACGTAAATTCAAATTGAAAATTTCAACCGGATCAGAAGCTAGGCTATGTCATGTGTCAAAGACCTCGCAGACGTACATGTTTTTAACCCAATAGTTGTCCGTCCTTGGACTGGGCTGCCTGAGACCTTTCACTTCGTGCTCTGAATCCTCACAAGGTTCACGAGCCGCCATCAGCCTTTTGTTCATCCGACTTATATTTGGGGAAGCCAATATTTTTGCAGAGGTGGCAGTTCCTTTGAAATTTCTCGAGGGGATTTTACAATTAAAATTTAATTCCAATATTTTAAAAAAATATTAGTCAAAACCTATAAATAATAGCATTTTCATAATCATCGCAAATCCGGAGAAAATCAGCGACAAAATGATGCTAGAAATAGGCCAAACTCGCAGAGATGTTTGTGGGGAAAGAGAAAATCAAGCAGCCACCAAGTGAGTATCGTGTGCCATGTGTACCTCTAAAGCCCAATTCGCTGGCAATATAACGGGTGTAAATTTACATTAGCTTAATAGGGACTGTTCAACTCAGACAACTGGCAGATGACAGTGTAAAGGCCCAAATACTGTTTATATTCGGTAGGTTTTTCTTTCCATACATAGGCAAACCTTGGCGTTAAACCATGCTGCCGGTATAACTGGGGACGGTAAAATGAGGTTTGACTGTACTTTAAAACATCAACAACATCTGAATGCAAAAACAAGAAGTAGGCACATCAAGGAATGTGATATTGTAACCGTAACACAGCTAGAAATAGCAACCCAGTGTTCAGGAAAAAAGTCCTCTTTCACAGTCTCATAATCAATTTTGGTTCCAGGCAAAGGAAAGTCTTTGTAATAAACAACATGCCCATTTGCTAACCAAGCACCCCACCACCCAAACGTGCCCACAGAAACTATAGAATGGTTACAAACTGTTAACATTCCAAAATCAGTTCCCATTGAATACCCAGGAGAAAAGACAATTGGGACAGGCTTTCCTTCCACTTTCGGGGGATTCAGATTCTCTTGGCACCAAGGAATATCATCAGACATCACTAGAAACGCAGAGTGGGGAAATTTATCTAACATGTGTTTCATGGCCTTATCAAAATACGATTTGGGGGCGTGACAAAATCCTAACTTTCGGGCCTCTGGCTTTAATACATCCCCTCTCCTCACATGAATGCTTATAATGGTACGTCCCTCCCTGATATAAACTTCAACAAGTTTTGAGAATTGCTTCAACACCCGAGTCTTGAAATCTCCCGACAATTGAAACTCTTTCCGCACTTCATGCTCAACCAGCTTGAAATATTTCCATGACTGTATATATCCCTCAATTGAAACATTTCCATTTGGCAAATTCATAAATTCTGGATTATAGGCACAAGGTCTGTCATCATACACCACTCTTAAGCACTCTGCAGGTTCGTCTCGTTTGTTCGACAGCACAAAGTACGTATTCAGAGGGTGAGATGGACTAAGGTAAGGTGTGTATCCATTTGCTCTGGCTATTCCTATGAGAGAAGCATAGCCATACATCCAGTTTCCTAAACGTCCATGGATTGCAAGGGTCACATAAAGGGGATCTGTACGTCCCTGAGGAAAAAAACAAAACAAGGAGATAAAAAGTGTGAAAAGGCATCTGTACACGTATTCAACGAAAAGCACATAATCAGACATAGGCACTACAATATTACAAAGGCAAGTTTTACACCGTCAAATAGAGTATAACACGGATAGCTCGAATTCGTCGGGACCGGCCTCGGTAGTTCAAGTTTTGTGTTCGACTATCTATTCGTGTTATACTGTATTTGGTGACACAAGTCCCACCTTGGAGGCTACCAGTGCTTCTCATTTTTCTCTTGTATTCGGGGTAATTACTCGCCAGCGTCTTGGCTCAACTGCGACTGGAGAAAAGGTTGTGAAGAATTCAAGGCATTACAAAGTCCCAAACTTCAGTTTCCCCCCCTGTCAGACATTAAAACTAAAGCCTGCACACACAAAATCCACATATCACCTGACAGTGAGGGGGAAGTAGTGAGATGCAGTGAGATGATTATGCATTTATGATTCCAAACCCAAACAATACAAACAATAGAGAAAAATACAAATATGAAGGGTATTTTTACTTTTTTTAGTAAGAATTTTACGGCACTCGCAACACAATAAGGTCATCTATATAAGCCCTGAAGATTAGAGGTGTTACAAGAGAGTTACAAAAACAAAAAAAGAAGGAGGGGAGATAGAGACGATAGATTTTTTTATATGAAACAAGGAGCAAACCACACTAGAGCACCTGCCAACCACCCACTATGAAGGGTACGTATCTGAACAATCGTCAACACAGATGGAGATGTATTAAACATATTACATATTTCAAGCTTATATATCTATCACTTTTTTTTGGGGGGGGGGGGTGTTACGGCGCTCGCAACTGCATAAGGTTATATGAGGGTGAGGGACACATTACACATTTTCAGTTGGTAGGAAATTTTGAATTTTGCTCTGGTGGCAGCCAAAGCCCACTCTTATCGATTTTGGACCACCAAGGGATCTTTAACGCGCGCAACTTGCACACGGGACCTCCGAGATTTTTCGCCCTTGTCCGAGAAGGCTAGGTGTAGATCTTTCCCACCAGATGATCAGGGATGTGGCTGAAAGATATTTTTTTCGGTTGCTACCCGGATTCGAACTCGGGACCTTTGATTGAGAGGCGAACACCTTACCTCTAGGCCACCAGAGACCCCTTTATATCCATCACTAGAACATCTGTGCCTGTTGGAGTCATCAACTATGTCTTGATGGGTAAGTTTTCATGTTAAATTAGGATGTGACTTTTCCTTGTACAGTTTGATTTTTATGTGACATAAAGGCTACATGAATGAAGTTAACTGAACAGTACACAGAAAAGATCATTTTACAAATTTATATCATCATACTTAGTTCTTCTTTTCATGACCAACAATACCAAAAAAAAGTGTTTTTTTTACATTATACTGGTACTAGGTGCCTGAGGGCCTTTAGTATGACATCCCAAAACTCAGCGCTTTATGTATGGCTTTCAACCACCACTACAGTCACGACTTATTGACCAGTCTGGTTCACTATATTTTTGGAATATAACTAATAAATGAAAATAAACATTCATAAATTCCACTCTATCGATCACCTTGAGAAATTTGTCTTACAAAGACATACTGGGTACATAAACACACAAACATTAATAACATAAACGCATGAATGAAACACAATATATGCAAACATACACAATCAACACAGCATTCAATACTGGTCATCAATGTGCAACGCCTTATCTCTGAGCGAACAGAGTCATCATGCAATGCTCAGGTTCGAGGATACACCAAATGACTGCCCATTTCAACACCATGTCACCTACACGCCCTTGACATTGTGAGCCTGAGCTCACTAATCAGCTTTGTACCTCTATACTGGAGAGCCGATGCTCACAATTTTTAATGTGGAATTGGAAAGCAATCTCTTAATTCTGGAATGTTCTATTACAATGATGCAACGCAATCGAAACCTACAACTTTATAAACTCTTAAGCTCTAAATTATAACAATCTGGCTCTGTCATGTTCTTGGGAATATTGGAATATTGAATGCTTCCTTCCTTCCTTCATTTACATTTTGAGGGATGAAGAATATCTGGTTTCTTCTAAAAAGTGACAAGTGGCTCCACTTGAGTGATTTGCATGCCTCCCCCCCCCCCCCCCCCCCCCCCCCCCGATATAAATTGGACATGTCTTGTAGACTTGTAGAATCATTTTTTTTTTTTAAGTGTCTATTATTATAAATAGTAAGGTTAACGACAGAAGCCTCATGAGCAGCAGTAGGTCAAACATGTCTTGGGGACACTCATTTGCTTTTACCTGTGCAGCTGTGAATTTAGCCTACACTGAACATAATTTTTAAAAGTAGACCGAGAAACCAAATTAATGGCTCAATTCTGGAGTATTTTATAACAATACAAACCGATAGAAATGTACAATTTTACAAATTCTCTTGCTCAAAATCAGTAAATTTCAACTCCTTCATGCTCTTACTCTTAGAAATATTGAATGCTACTTTCGTTTAAACTTAAAGTAGGCTACATGTGGTTGCTTTTGAAAAGTGACCAACAGATCAGGCCACCAGATTTAATATCGTAATTTGTATACACATTTTTGTTTGTGTTTTTATGTGGGGGGGGGGGGGGGGGTTCTTAGTGTTTTACAGCGCTCACAACTGCATAGGTCATATGAGAGTATTTGCCAAAAGGTGGGATGCCTGGGTGTGACAAAAGAGGTCCAAAATCAACTTTATGTAATAATTCTTTAATCACCCATATTATATAGCCTAATGATTGCTCTTTCAGACTCAGTAACTGCCAAAGCTGTATATGCAATGGTCTTGGTGTAATTCTGACTTGAATGACGGAAATAGCAACAAGTTCGTTCATAACAATGATGACACAAATTTATGAATACTCAAAGTTCCTTTCTTCAGCTAGGCTGATGTTATATTTTGAGACATAGCAAATAACTTCCAAAAATACATAGAATTGACAATTTATAAAAATCTTTATTAATTTTTGATCATATTACTTTTTTGTGTCATAATAGTTATGAACGAACAATAAGTGACCAAAATACTATCAATTATATCAAGTTTCATCGACTAGAATTGTCTAAAATAACACTCTGGTCTAATTATAGTCAAGTGATAAATGAAAGACCATTGAACAGCTATTTTAAAACGCAAACTTGTCTTAGGGCATATTATGCATAAATTTAAAGTTCGTTCATAACCATTATGACACACTGTTTCGTTCATAACTATTATGACAAATTTTACTTTTGGCCCCTAAAATTTACTTATATTGTTCTGTCTTTCACATAAAATGGTTTTCATTTATGAGGCTTTCCTTAAAATATGATAGATTCCTCTATGTAGGGAGAATTCAAAGTTTATTTCCAGAAAAACCCTTAGAATACCTTTAAAATGGTTCGTTCATAACAATTATGACAAACTTCAATTTTGACCTAAAAATTTACTCATTTTGATCTGTCATTCATTTTTAAAAACTTTTATTAAAAGAAACTCTCCTCATAATATGTATCTCTGTACATGTTTTTAAAGTTTGTTAACACTGAAAAGCCCTCAAAATATATAAAATGGACTATAAATAGTTCGTTCATAACCATTACTACAAAAGTATAATACTAATTAAAATCCACACCCATACACTTATGATAAAAATCAAAATATCAGAATGTATGCAAGGTCTGTTCTGTCCTTTAGTTGGGTTTAAATTAAAAATACATCCCAAAACAACTGTAAATTACATGGAATAAGGTTTCGTTCATAACCGTTATGACACACTGTTTCGTTCATAACTATTATGACAAATTTTACTTTGGGCCCAAAAAATTAACTTATTGTTCTGTCATTCACATAAAATTGTTTAAATTTATGAGACTCTCGTCAAAATAAGGTTATATGTTGGAAGAATTCAAAGTTTAATCACTGAAAAACCCTTAGAATACCTTTAATTGTTCGTTCATAACTATTATGACAAACTTCAGTTTTGGCCTAAAAATTAATATTTTGACCTGTCATTTACTTTAAAATTTTATATTAAATGAAAGTTTCCTCATAATATGTATCTGTGTACATGTTTTTAATGTTTATCAACTCTGGAAAGCCCTCAGAGTACAATATGTAGTTCGTTCATAACCATTACTACAAAAGTAAAATACTAATTAAAATCCAGACCCATACACTTATGATAAAAATCAAAATATCAGAATGTAAGCAAGGTCTAATACATCCTCAAGTTGGGTTAAAATTAAAAATACATCCCAAAACAACTGTAAATTACATGGAATAAGGTTTCGTTCATAACCATTATGACACACTGTCACGTTCATAACATGATGACAATCCATTATGACAAGCATATTTTTGCCTCTTCTTCGCTTCTCTTTTGAGTCATCAGCACGATACTCTTCCATGTTCATTCCACCATGTAAAAGGATGTTGTGAAACAGTGGGAAGTCACTCACATGATATTTAGCAGAAATATCATAAAGTGTTTGTTCATAACATCATTATGACAAACCTGGATTATCTCAATCAAAGTCATATTTAAGCAAAACCATGCGATGGAGCGGAAAATTACCCTTCTGATGGATCAATGTCAAACCAATGTTTAATACCGGTCATTCCCCGGGATGATATGTTTAACGATTTGGGTTTTCTAGACCTTGGAAAGTCTGATGATGTAATTATGACACGAGTTATGAACGAACTTATAAATTTTACTCAGCAATAACATCATTAATATAAAAAAATAAAACCCTTTTAATGGACGCACGCTGTTATGATGGTGTATACAAACTATTTTCAATATTTGAATGCACTTCTGTTTGATAGTTTAAGATTAACAATATTCTGTATTTAACATACAATTACATGTGCACTCAGGATGAGTAAAAAATGCCCTATTTTTAGTACTATTATCTTTCTATGTAGAGATATAAGATGCACACATCAATCTACTTGCTCATGATGCAGCTTGACCAACTTATTTCCTTGCCATATGCATAAAGTTTTCAGAAGAAAACATATTTTACCATGAGTAGTGGTTGATTTAAAAAGTCCTTAAGCAAACACCCCCACCTTTTGGCAAAAGCTCATGAGCGTGCGGGACACACCTAACATTTTCTGTTGGTAGGAAATTTTGAATTTTGCCTGAGTGGCGGCCAAAGCCTACTCTTATCAATTTTGGACCACCAGGGGATCTTTAGGCCTAATGAACGTAACTTGCACACGTGACCTCCAAGATTTTTCGCCCTTGTCCGAGAAGGCTAGGAGTAGCATCAGGGGTGTGGCTGAAAGACAGCTGTAGAAAGAGCCAAGGAGAAGCAGTGGCAAGGCTGCAGAAAGTTGATAAAGAGTCAGGAGCTCAGAGGAGGGGGGCAAAGGAGGTGGGGGGGGGGGATAGAAAGTGGAGACGAGAAAGCAGACAACAGAATATCGCAAGAGAGCAGGAACAGAGGTGAAACGAGACAATTTTAGAGAATAACATTTTTTCCGTCGCTACCCGGACCTTTGAATGAAGGGTGAACACTTTAACTTCTAGACCACGAGAGGCCCCCTTGTATACACGTGGGGATCTTATTTGATGCAAATCAAAAGAAATATAATTTACCTCAAGTTCATAATTTCTTCGGCGATGAACACATTCCCTGTACTCAGGCTGGCTAACAAAGCGAACGAAGAGAACAACATTGCGCCAATAAGTCCACAGCAAGTAACATAACACAAGAATACAGAAAAAAACTTTGAGAACAGCCAGCTTCTGTGTGCGTAATCGTCTGAATCCATGTCTGCACATCCTGCAAAGAAGAAGAAAAGTAATATTATATACGAGATCTTAAAGTGTCGATCATTTCAAAACAAGATTGAATTACAGTGTAGTCTACTGAAGCCAAAACCTACTGGACTGCTAGATTTTCTCTTCCATTTAGCTAGGTTTTTATTTACAGATGGTGCTCAAAAAGAAATGAACAAAAAATTAGCGCATTCTGTTTTCTATTGTTGGTTTTATCGCTTATTTCAGATTTTACAGTTTTCAGATTGCTGACTCCTGTCATGTTGGGAAGGGTTGGAATGCTTGTGATTTTAGGTTTTTGGCAATACGTAGCCTACCGACTACCGTATTTTATTAAATTAAAAGACATCCCCAAAAAATTTTTTAAGCAGCTTAGGTTCTTCATGATCTTCGTGTTTTTAGGCTGTTTGAAACAACAGTTAACTGTAGAAGTAGAATCTAGAGCCAGTTGTTTAAGATTTAAGAAGACAATGTTATAGAATCTATCTAGAATCTAGGTCTAGATATCTAGATCTAGATCTAGATCAAGATTTCTGCTGGATCACAGAAATTTAATAAAGGCCACCTCTATTCTCACCCGGGGTGAGAATAGTGCAGGCGGGTCTTGTGGCTATTCTCACCCGGTGCGCGTGTCGACAAATTTTGCGTTCACCCTAAACCACAGAATTCTACTTCTACACTGTGATATAAGAGAAAAATTGTAGAATTCTGTGCGGTGAACAAACGTTCCATTACAACTGTACTTGTAGCCTACTAAAAGCGTACAATTTTGTCTGTGGGCAGGGGAGAGAGAGAGAGTGAGAGAGAGAACAAAACAAAATGGCGACCCGCGTAGTTCGGCTCGATTCGAAAAGTTAAATAGCCGTAGCATCTTTGTAGACAACCAAATTAATTTACTTTTGTGTTTTAACATCATTTTTTAACTTTGTTTTGGTCAATTTGATCGCCCACACCGATAGACAGTATTCAGAAAGAGACAGAGAGAGAGAGAAGAGGGGAGGAGTAGATCTTGCGAGAACTTCCGGGCGGGTGAGAATAGCCACTTTCTTTAATAAAATTGCATTTACTGACACTTGTCTTAGACTTAGATTTAGATATATTTAGATATCTAGATCTATATTCTAGATCTATATTCTAGATCTAGATCTAGATAAAGATCTAGACTCTAGATCTAAATCTGCCCCTACCCCCTCACCTTCTAAATCTCTAGATCTATCCTCTTTGAACATGCATTCTTTTAGGCCTAGAATCTAGATCTAATCTAGATCTAGATCTAAATCTAGATTTCTAGATCTAGATTCTAGATATTAAATCTTATGGCAAATCCTAACCCTTTTTGTTGTTGTTGTTGTTTTTATGTTTTATTTAAATGAAGAAATCTTCATGGAACCGTTTGTTGACCCACTCAAGTCACTCAGTTGTCTCAGTCACTGACTCACTGTTGACACTGCTGTAGGCCTATTGTAGCCCGTTGTTGTAATTGTAAAAAGCCCAACAGAAGTTTCAGTATGATGACCAACAACAACAATAACAACAACAAACTGATACCTCAAATGACTGTTAAAACAAGACCACAGAAAAAGGCACGCGGTTACTGCTGGAACGCACAGAAACAAAACGTAAACATTGAAAAGTGAAAGTAGGAAATGATCTGTTTTAGAAGATCTAAATCTAGATCTAGTTTAATGGCGAAATCTTGTTTTCACTTTCTACTTCCGTCATTCCTACTTCCGCTCGTCTGTTCGTGGCTTCGTCACTCGTGACTTCGTTACTCATCAACTTATTCATTGTCTTAAAAAAAGGAGAGCTCCCGATACGATGAGTCAAAGCAAACATTTTGATATCAAAGATCAAAGTCAAAGATCGTATACACGAGAAGCCTTCCATCAGAAAAATAAAACACTCTTTTGGCAAATAGTTTTTGTATAAATAAAAAGATTTAAAAAGTTGTTGTTATTGAAACAACCTCGGTACCAAAAGTTAAACACAGCTGTAGCCCAGGCTATTGAATGTGACCCTTGAAACCGACGATAGACATAAAATTATTTTTGTGAAGGGAAATAGCCGAGGAAAGGGTTTATCGTGAAAGGTTTCCTTGGAAACATGAAACCTGGATCTTTAAGGGTATTCTTCACCTCCAGGTCGGATGCAAAAGTTAAGGTTTGGAAGAAAAAAGTAGCAAGCCTTAATTCCCACCATGACTAAGGCCCTACATATATTTTTTAAATTTTTTTTAAAATTTTCTAAACCTTCCTGGGTGTTGAGGGAAGTTAAGTTTACTTTTATACTTTCCGAAATTTTGAGAACAAACTAATCCCCAAAAACACTGAGCAGCAATAATGAAAATAAAATGACTACAAAAGTGGAAATCAACTGGACTCTCATACAACACAGATATGCATGGGGCTCTGAATAGTGGCCTAGAGGTTGAGGTGTTCTCCTCTCATTCAAAGGTCCTGGGTAGGAATACGGGTAGAGACTGAAAAAAGGTCTTCTCTATAAAAAAAATTAAAAAAATTCCTTTCAGCTCTAGCAATAAAATATTCTGTCGTCTGCTTTCGTTTCCACTTTCTGCCCCTACCCCCTCACCTCCTTATCTGCCCGTTCCTCTGGACTCCTGACTCATTCTGCAGTCTTTCTATAGTTACTCCTTGTCTTTCAGCCATACCCCTGATCTTCTGGTAGGAAAGATCTACACCTAGCCTTCTCGGACAGGGGCGAACAATCTTGGAGGTCCCGTGTGCGAGTTGCGCACGTTAAAGATCCCTTGGTGGTCCAAATCGATCAGAGTAGACTTCGGCCGATACCCGGGCCAGATTCAGAATTTCCTACTAACTGAAAAAGTTTTGTGTGTCCCGCGCGCTCATATGACCCGTTGAGAGCGCCGTAAAACACTTACTACAGAGTAGATATGCATAGGCTAGATCTATATATATAGGGCCTTATGCGGTAATAGCCTAGGTTTTCTTTGCCTGGAAAGCCAAAATGGTTTATAAAATAGCCTAAGCCCACGATCTCAAGATGCCTTATTTTGCGCATAACATATTGTGTAGGCTACAATATAGATCTAGATCTACGCGTCTACGTGTGTATTATTATGGAGCGCCCTGAGAGTAGGAGAAAATTCATTCCTTTTCACTATTTTCTGATCTTGATTGCCACTTCGTCTCTGCGCTGGTTAAAGAGTGCTGCTGGCAGATCCTATAATCCTACTTCGTACGACCTTGTCTTTTCTTCTGTTGAACATTTCTATTTGTCTTGCTCCTTATAATCCCTGCATTTAAAATGTTTGTGTCGATTATCGATATAAATTTATGAAATTGTAAAGAAAAAGAAGCAGCTGCCACATTGGATTTATTTATTCTATACTATATTGAGAGCTTTGCAACAGATGTAGAAAGGCTACCAAAACATACGTGTACTTGTAGATCTGTGTTAGTTTACTTAGATGATAGAAGAATGTACAAATGTACATGTAGTTAGAAAATTGGACTGGTGTGCAGTATATTATGTAGTCCTAAACTAATGTTTTAGAACCACCTCTAAGAGGAAAAGTGCCCTTAATA